CTCTGGAGATGTCTGGCAAGGAGGCCGAATTCAAGGCCATTCTCTTTTCGCTGTGCTATTTCCATGCTGTGGTAGCTGAGCGCCGCAAATTCGGCGCCCAGGGCTGGAACAAGATCTATCCCTTCAATGTGGGCGACTTGAATATCAGCGTATCAGTGCTGTATAACTACTTGGAGGCGAATGCCAAGGTACCGTGGGAGGATTTGCGTTATCTATTCGGTGAGATTATGTATGGTGGTCACATTACTGACGACTGGGACAGACGCTTGTGCATCACCTATTTGGAGGAGTATATGCAGCCGGATCTGGTTGACGGCGAGCTATTCCTGGCGCCCTCCTTTCCCGCCCCACCCAACACGGATTATGTGGGCTATCACAATTATGTGGATGAAATGATGCCGGCCGAGTCGCCCTACCTGTATGGCCTGCATCCCAATGCAGAGGTTGGCTTCCTGACTACCCGAGCGGAGAACATCTTTCGCACCGTCTTCGAGATGCAGCCGCGGGACGCAGGTGCTGGCGGTGGTGCCACAGTAACGCGCGAGGACAAAGTCAAACAGATTGTGGACGAGATCATCGAGAAGTTGCCTGAAGAATTTAATATGGTCGAGATTATGAACAAAGTGGAGGAGCGTACGCCCTATGTGATTGTGGCATTCCAGGAATGCGAGCGCATGAACTACCTGACCAGCGAAATGAAACGCAGCCTGAAGGAGCTCGATCTTGGCTTAAAGGGCGAATTGACCATCACATCAGACATGGAGGTGCTCGAGAATTCGTTATTTTTGGACCAGGTGCCGCCGATATGGACACAACGTGCCTATCCCTCGCTGCTGGGGCTCAACAATTGGTTTATCGATTTGTGCCTGCGCCTGCGAGAGCTAGAAACATGGTCCACCGATTTTGTGGTATGCCGACCCGACCCGACCCAACCAGTTTGCAAATATTTATGCTTTTTGTTTTGTGTCCCGATTGCAGCTACCCTCCTGCGTCTGGCTGGCGGGCTTCTTTAATCCCCAATCACTGCTAACGGCCATCATGCAGAGCACGGCGCGACGCAACGAGCTGCCGCTGGACAAGATGTGCCTGCAGTGTGACGTGACCAAAAAGCAGAAGGAGGAATTTACGTAAGTGCCGGTCGACAAAGAGCGACACACACGACTTTATTGAAACGCAATTTTAATTGACTTTGGCGCTGACCCCCAGCTACGCGAAACAGATATCAGTAGACTTGTGACCGATTTTAAAACCATTGTCTGGCATTGCATTGGAGATGCCCGTTCGGCGGCACTCAATAGGACATATATTGGTATATATGCGTGTAAATTATAATTCTTCTCCGGCTGCGGAAAGGCCTTCATCAGGGTGGGAACGGGATGTCTATGTATTATGGTTACTGCACCAGTTTGTGACCGATAGCTTTAAAACGGCTAAGTGCTCAGTACTGACAACCCAATTAGGCGACACAGACTCACACACACATAAGCATACCTTACTCTAATCATTGCTAGAGAGGAGCTCATGAGCGATTGCAATAAGCTCGTGCTGGCTAAGATTTTGTAAAGTCGTGCTGAGTCGTGAAACTTGATTGAGTTAAGCTCTTGGCTAGCTTGTAAATACTGTGTAGAGTCGGCTGAGTCACCAGCACTCAGCTAAGCTCGTGCTAATATACTCAGGAACCATTCTATTTATAATCCGTGTTTTATCATCTTAAGATCTCTATGGGTTTTCATTAAGCCGTTCCCTAACCCATCGTGTTAGACCGTCTTATTGAACACGACACGTGCTCAGCACTACTCCTCGTATCAACTATGTAACTATGTAAATCTACATGACTTGTGTCAATACTTACACTGAGAAGATAGTGTAAACAGCGGCTCATCCGGCCAACGGCTTCAAGCTGAGTCTAATAATAGATGTAATGCTATGCCATGAGGGCTAATTTTAGACACAGCACCAGTACACACACAGAGAATATTTATAAATAGCTATTAATAATAAAGTGTAATTAACAATTGTCTATTTGCCGACTGTCGATTCTTGAGTCTTGATTGTTGATAGTTGATACACGGATTGCTTATTAAGTGGCGCCCAGATTCTCGTATTTTGAATTTGGCGTCAGACAGAGGCGCCCCACTAATTGGCGAGCTTAGTGAATAATCCATGCTTATTCGATATCAATTGCAAATCTCTGTCTGAATTTAATTACAGTACGGCACCGCGGGACGGCTGCTGTGTGCATGGCATCTATATGGAAGGCGCCAGATGGGATATACAGCAGGGCATTATTATGGAATCACGTCTCAAAGAACTATATCCCTCAATGCCAGTGATCAATATTCGGGTGAGTTTGTAATTCAAATGCCGAAAAGCGAATTCTAAAATAGAAATAGAAATACCTATTTGAATTTGGAACGGATCTGTGGCGTCTAAAAAGCGGCGCATGTTTGCATAAATCCAATTCTAAATATCCATATATGCATCTCTCCACCCCCGCAGGCCATTACCCAAGACAAGCAGGACATGAGGAACATGTACGAATGCCCTGTCTACAAGACACGCACCCGTGGCCCAACCTATGTGTGGACCTTCAATCTCAAGACCAAGGACAAGCCAGGCAAATGGACACTGGCGGGCGTTGCTCTGCTTCTGCAGACTTAAGTTTAACCTAATTTATTGGACAACAATTAATTTATTCGAATATATTTCTAGTTTTTTTCTTATATTGTTAGCATACTAGAGTAGCGAATCAAATTTTATTCTTCCATCTGGTGAAACTTTTTAAGCAAAAAACTTATGTAGAAATTCGACAAAAAAGATTTTGTGACCTTAGTAGATATCTCACAAATTTTTTCATTATTCTAAGCACATGTTTTTTCTCAAATAAAATCACTTTCTTCGTAGGAATGCCTTAGGCGCACTAGCATAAAACCCGAAATCCAAACTCGTATTATTTACACAGGGTATCAAAGTTATTTTATGGGTGTGAACATCATAAACAATAATATGTATTAATTGCTTGTGAATTGCATTGCAGGAGCATATATAAACAAATGTGTTGATTGTTTACTTTCGAGCGGAATGTGTAAAAAATCCCAAGAAAAACCAGAAAGTACATTTAATGTTTAAAGAGCATGCACCTTGTGCCATTAGTCAGAGTATTTTGATAATACTTAAAATAATATAATCTAAATGTCTTGAATGAGTTGTGAGATAATCGTGGTCTATATGTAAAATACGTCTGTCTATAAGTAAGCTGATAAGACAGAAAAAAAAACTTCCACAGACGCACAAAAATGTGAATCTAAATCAAAAATCAAATGCGTCGCGCTTTCATAAATAACGATCTGCACAGACACGCACACATGGATGTACATATGAATATATGTATTTAAAAATCGCCAGCAAAAGAAAATAAATATAAAAGAAATATTTGAGCATCAAAGGAAATTCATAGACGACGAGTGGACTGAACTCGTGGTCGTCGCCAAAAAAAAAGTATGCACATACATATATAATAAAGAAAATAAAACAATTTTCAAATATTTCTTTTCTGACGAAATTTGAACGATGCCAGCGAACAGTATCAAGCAAAACGTGAACGTGAACCAATTAACGAAAAAATTGAGCAAAAAATACCCAAAAACAAAAAAAAAGCCGAACTCAAAATTTCAGATGTGACGACTGACTGCATGAAATACATAAATAATTCAAATAATTATAAAAAATATACAAACAAAAGCCACCAAGGGGGCTGGGGAATGTGACGCGTGACCCGCCTACAGAGCTATCGATCAAGCGATCAAACGAGCGATCGATCGAGCGGCTGTACCAGCAAGTACACACACATACACACACGTTAACCCAAACACACATAGAATACGGTGGAACACACACACACACACACACACAGTAAAGAAATAAAATAAAATAAAGGCAAAATGTACAAAGCAAACGAAAAGAAAACTGAAGACGACGACACGAGCGTAAATCAATTTTAGCATGGAAAAAAATTCTATAAAACTAACAGACACTGTGTGGTCGGACATCATTCGTGTGCGCTACGACGAGCCAGCCCAAAGCCAAAGCCAAAGCCAAGATAGCCAGCCCGATAGCCAGCGAGTCACACAGTCACACAGTCAGACTGTCAGTCAGCCAATCAGTTAGTCAGTCAGTCACTGATTTTGATTGATTATTGAACCCCAAACTCGAAACTGAAAATTCGAACGTGCCTTTCGGTTCTCAGTGTATGTTTGTGTACGTGTGTGTGTGTGCGTGAACGTGTGACTGTGTGTGTGTACACACATAGTTATCTCTGTATCTAACAGCAGCAGCCGCAGCAGCCACAGCAGCCACAGCAGCCGCAACCGCATCCAGCTTCAGTCTCATCCGTCAGTCGAACGGCCAGAGTCAGTGTCAGAGCTAACTCGCTCTCCCTGTCTCACTCTCTCTCCGCATCACTCTCGTTCGCTCGCTCTGTGAATCTATCTCGCTTACCCACTGGCTGGAGGATATCTTTGCGCTTGGTTCAGTTTCAGTTCGCATTTGGACGCGGCCTCGCCGACGTGTGTAAACGGAATCAGTGCGTGCACATACTTATAGCAACGACTGTGTCGCGTATTTAACAAATAACAAAACTAACAAATTAAATTAGTGAATATAGTAATATATACACGTGTCTGAAGTTCAGTGACAAGCTATATTCTTAGAAAGTATATATAGCCCAGCATAAATACTTATAAAGTATACGGCATATATACATATATATATACAAGCGTATATAGTTATCGTGCAAAACAAAAATCTAGCGCCGCATAAATAATACTTCTATCTACATATATACACGCACGATTTTAACCCGCAAAGTTCACGCGCCGCATCTCAATAAATATAAATATATAAAATTGTGCGACCGAGTTTTTAGTTCTTTGCTGGTGTGATAGATAATAGCGAACTCATCTTGAGAGGCACATCGCAAAATAAATATACACAATACATATATTTTAAATATATATACATATAGATATATATATATTTTATTTATATATATATTTATATAAATCAATCTACATAAATTACAACAGAATGAAGCTGTTTGCAGTATTCTTGGCATGTAAGTATTCATATCATCCGCTTATACATTTGATAAGTTTTTTTTTTTTTTAATTTTTTTATTAGCTCATTCAAATTTAATGGGTTTTACTTAGTGAATTATAAATTTCCCGGTATAATATCGCAAATCAGTTGAGAACATCTAACAAAATTCATGTAATGCTTCCCAGAAATTGTAATTTAATTTATGTGGCACCTAACACTGCGCAACAAGAACATTTAAACTCTTACCCAGTTATCATTAACTGCAATATTTTCAAGAATTTTCTAAATTTTAAAATTCTATCTGACATATTTCGTGAAAAATCGCGTTAAAGTAAAAAATAGAGAAAAAAAAATGAAGGAATTTTGTATATAAATATTGTATTTTGTATTTTATTTACCTTTATATTTTATTTTTATTGCTGACTTTTGGTATTATATATGTATATGATTCATATATTATTTATTTACAATACAGTGACAGTTGTGATTATTTTTTAATTTTTGCAATCAATTCAATACTTAAAATTTCCAAAGCAACAACAGAACTGACCTATTTACGCATTGATACTGAAATATATGCAGGGAAATATAATTTACATTATTCTTCAATATTAAATTTTTCTATAGAAGGCAAAAATATGAATAAAAATATTTATATTTATTTTTTATATAATTTAATTATTAATAATATAACAAATATATTATTTGATTAGTTGGCCTATTAGTTAATGAGTGCTAATAGCAAAACGTAAATACTTCGTAGTCAGAGCTGCCTGTGCCAGGTAATAATTGAGTATTATTGTCGAACTGTCCGGCCGGCCAATGGCATGGCAGACAGGCTGGCGTCTAGAAAAAATGGGCGTACGATCGAATCGATGGATTGAGTTTTTTCTATTGATGATATCATATTGGGTGGATCGCATTGGCATGCAGAGCACGTTGCCAGGCAGCGATTGCTTCTTCTTGTTCCTCTTTTGCTCATTGCTGATTGTGTGTTCCGCTTAACTAACTATTATGGCCATTGTGTTTATTTATAGTGACGCTCTACGCGCTGACACTGGTGCAGTGCCTCAGCCTGCCCGATCCGAATGTGAAGTGCAACATGGAGTGCGATACGCAGGAGAATCAATTTATATGCGCGGCGGATGACAAAGGAGTCACCAAAACGTATCGCAATGTTTGTATCATGAAGACCGAGAATTGCCTACAGAATGCAAGTGAGTTAGCATATTATATAGAGGAAATTTAGAAATTCTATATTGAATTATATATATATTTTTATATTTTCTCTTTAGACTTTCAGAAGATCAGCGACAAGGAGTGTCCATAGATGCTAGAGCCAAGTCCCAGTTTTGACAGTGCGCAGATTTAGAACGATGACAAAACTCATCAAACTTTCAGTTCTTGCGTGGTATTTGTGTGTGATATTTTTAAGTTGTGCTGCAGCAGAATACAAAACACGCCCCTCCCTTTAATGCCCCTTACACTACCAACATATGCCCCATCCCAAGCTACAAATATGTAATACATATATAATGATAATATATTTTGTAATTATTAATTTTAAAATATTTAATAAAGTAATATACATACAGTAAACACTCATGCAATCTGTCTTGAATAACAGTGAACTCACGTACTCACATATGTAAATACAGCTTGTTACCCGGGGGAGGATTCGCTTACAACGACACTTCGTGATCTATTATAAATGATGACTTCATCTCATTTTTTTTTTTTTCATTTTTACCCCAACACATCTGCCTTTTATTTTTATTTCCTTCTAATCTCTGGCCAAACGGTTTTGAACTATAGCTCTGAAAATTCAATTAAATCATCTGCCTTGTTTAGCAAATCATATACTGATAATCCCCATCAACCCATACACGCGCGCATCCAAACACTCACACAGACTCAGACAGACTCAAACGCGTTGCTACGCATCACGTGTTGAACAAAACTGAATGGATTCGACGTCAGAGTTTGTTCACTTGGCTCCAAAGTCAAAACAAATACGAACATTTTACGCCTACTTAGCACATTAGTATTAGCTCAATTGGTTATTTATATAACAGTGAGTAGACACTTCAGATTGTGTACTAAGAAATAATCTAGAACAATGTAAGAAGCAATAGAAATTCCTCTCCGTAAGTAAATAAGTGTGCGCAATGTGACTTTGACATATTTATTGTCAATTTAAAATAGGGAATCATAAAATAATAATATAAGCTATATTATTGCTAGGTAACAGAGCATCAAAAAGAAAAAACAAATGAAATAAAAATGAAAACTCCAAAAGCCCACGCCTCATTAGGAGTGAGTCAGACAAGGTAATTCTTTAATACATAATTTTTTATTGAGGCCTTTAAGATTTAATGTGAAAAATATTTATTAAGTGAATATCATTCAGACATACATATAGAAATTATTATTTTTTTTTTATAAATTGAATATGTTTTATGTTTTTAATTTTTAAATATGTATATTATATATATTTATTTATTTAAAAATATTTCCTACCTAAAATAAAAGGCAATATAAAATATATTTACGTTATTAAAACATTACAAGTAAATATCGTTTTTTTTTCTGTTTTTAGTATGCCTAAAAATTATGAAAAAATCATATAATATAATATATTTTTAGATACAAGAATAACAACATAACTAAAACGTCTATATTCATATTTCATAGTAAATTCAACTGGATATAGCAATTTGACTTTTTGAATAAGCTTATGCTTGGTTGGGGTAAGAATAGCATCCCCTAAAAGCTCGTCGCGTAGTAAAAGCTCCTCCAAGCGCTGCGTGAGCGTGAGTGGTGGGCGTGTGTGTGTGTGTGTGTGTATGTGTATGTGCGTGATGCTTTCGTCCATGGGGCGCGCGCAAACTTTTCGCATCTTGCACCGACAACTGTGAAGTTCTTTAGCAATTTTTTGGTCCATTCATCTGGCAGCCAGTGCTGGGCAATCAGTACAACAAATACCGTTAGATGGCACAGACGCCGCTGCGACGGTCGCGCATTGAACAGATCCTGACAACGAGCCAGACGACGTGGACGTGGAAGCCGCTTCATTTGGCGCCACACATTAAAGTGCTACGACCGAGGTCCTTGCGGCCCGTATCTCCCTCTCGCTGCGTGTGGCTTACTTGTGTGTGAGTGTGTGTGAGTGCGTATTACTCTATTAGTGTGTGCGTGTATATTTGACTGTGTGATTTCGCGCGCTTTTGTGTCGCCTGCTTTAACTGTTTATCCTGGCCATTGCCTTAGCCCCGAATCAAACAAAGGCGGCAGCCAGCACAAAGGACCGTCCAGAATTCGAGTTGCGTGCTATTTGCGGGCATATTGATCAACTGCTGGCAATTAAATTCAATTGCTGCTTAAATTAGGCATTTTACGGCCGCCAGACAACAAAAGCTCTGCACGATTTAAGCCAAATAGCGTCACCGGGTAAGTGCTAGCGTGAACTCGGGATCAGTTAACTGCTACCAGCTGACCACCTCCATATGGATGGACCATATAAATCAATTACGGAGTCACCTAAGGCCTGCCAGCTGCCACAAGAGTAACTGCCAGCTGCCAGGCCACATAAATGTCGGGCTTCCGTGCTAAACGCATCACCGAATTCAAAGTGCCTTTTACTTATTTTATCGCTTTTATCTTTTATCTCATTAAAGGGGCTTTTACTGCGTGACAAAAGGTGTAAAGCGTATTGTGATAATTTTTTAGTGAACGTCGAGAGCGAAAATTTTAATGCCAAAAGTGTCACGCGCAGCAATACTTATGTATATACCAGGGAATATAATAATTCCTAGAAAATTATGTTACATTATGTTGCATAAATATATATTTGCATTCGTGTATTGGAAGCTTGCATGATATTAGACTGAATTACGTGGAAAACCAAATCAAATTTTACTCAGTGACAGAGCGAGGGAGAGAGACAAAGATATTTCGAGAGTTTTGTGTTCAGTATTCAAGTATGAAACATTGTTCGTTTTATATAATCAGCGCGTATTCGTGATGATGTCTTGATATACTATAAATTGCCCAGTGTTCAATCCTGTTTTGTTTGTATTGTGTACAGGGTATTTTCCCAACAAACAGTCTATCAACGCCATCAATTTTCACTTGTTCATTACACGCACATCAATCTCTCTCCAAATTCACTTCAGGGCTTTCTGGTTCAGTTTAAGGCTTCAGTCACCGAACTAAATAACGCTGAGTCTCCTTTTTTTTTTTTTTTATTATGTCTTTTGTCCAATTTGATGCATAAAGTGAAACTTCTTTTATGCGCATTTTAACACATTGGCCACAGCAAATTTCGCCCGTAGCATTTAACATATTTTGGTAAAAGCGAAAAGGGGGAGCTGCTTAAAGCATTAAACGTTACTTTTACGACGAACCATTTGCATATTATGAATAAGCCATTACGTTTCAATGAAATCTTTCGCTCTTTTTTATGATTTACCGTAAAAAATAGGGGAGGACTGAAAATGAAATTGTTTACCGGTTGTTAATGTATTTGATTTAGATAAATTATCATAATTTGATTTGAATATATTCGACCTTGATTTAGCTGAAACTTGATTTTATTTTTCCTTGGCTTTTATTTTTCCATATAAATTTTACGGCAATGTGCATTTCCTCTATATGTATATTTCTTAAGCATACGCTGCTTTGCCTGTATAAAATTTCAGGCATAAATCGTTGCTCTTATAGAACTAGAGTTTATAGTTATTTTAGTGCGGGACATTAGAGTAAGTAAGCGAAAGTGTGCTCAAAGCTCTTCGGGACTTATAATTATTTCTGGCATGAGCACGAAAATCGCACTTTAATCCTAACGGGCAGTTCGAAAATCCTTAATGTATACAAGGGATTAGCATGCATTAAAATATGGGCGTTTAATAGACGCAGTAAAGTGTTAAAAGTGCTTATCACAGCAGCGTTCGGCCTCAACTCAATTGGGCACAGTTTTGGGGCCAAGGTTGAAGGTGCGCTCTCTGGGCATTTCGCTAACTCACATTAATTATGTTTAAATATTTAGCCTGACAACTGAAAGATTTATTATGCCCATCGCACATATATGCATATATATATATATATATGTTACAATGATTAATGGCCTACGAACTATATACGCATTCGGAACTGGCTTATGAAAGCTCCCGTTAATAGATATTTATGCAAGGTCCAATATAAAAGCATAACGTCGTTCATTTGGCTTACGAGTCGAATTATTATTCGTAAGCCTGCAATGAAATAAATCAAAATTTGCAATTTGTAATATACTTTTATGATAATTTTAATTTATAATTCACTCGAAAATGTACTCTTATCACGATTTCAATTCTCTACCCAAGTTAATGTCTGTTACATTACATTAGACTTTTAAAGCTATTTCACTGAAGCTATGCTCCCGAAAGTATGCTGTATAAACAGAAGATCTTCACAAAAATGCATTCAAATAATGGATTTTTATAAAAGGCTTTTATTGGCGAGCTTGAATCGTATACATAATTGGTAAATGTACATATTATTCATTGAAAATTTATTTGTCCGCTATACAAATACTAGCTATATGTTTATTTTGTCAATTAAATACATAAGATGTCCTTTTAATTCTTTACTGTCTGTAAGATATGCTTTGCATTGATTTATTTAATGTGCTGAATATGCTTTTGATTGAGACAAACAAACATTTTGAAATAATTTATTATTACAATATTTCAATCGATTTATAAACGCAGAGACTATTAACTCTTAATGACATTACAGATCGTATAAGCCTGCTATTATTTGTATTCATCTCTGTATACATATATATGTATGTTGCGTGCGTGTGTGTATGTATGAGCTATGCTGCAGGCGTATGCGCGAGTGACTTGACTTACAATTAGGGGCAATCGCAAGGAATCACGACGTCTGACGAAATTCGAGGAGTAAAACGTGCGTCTTTAAATTGATGCATTGTTAGCCTAACATTTGCTTTTTAATTTTTTATTTTTCTTTGCTTTTTTTTTACCGTAACCGGGCGCCAAGCTCCGAGCACCGAGTTCCGGGCCAAGCACGCAAATTCGACGGCAAATGGAAAACTTTGCGCCATAGAAATAATTTAGACAATGGGCCACTCGTGCGCAAATGCCATACCCAACCAAATGGTTGTGGCGGTACGGAAGAGCTTCTAGTGGATGGGATATGGTTATGGCCACACACACACACACACACGCATATGTACACACACTCCTGGCAGACAATCAAAGCAGAAATAGAGGCGACAAATTTAGTGCTGTTTTGCTTTTCTCCTCTCCTTGGTGTTTTTGTGCATTATTCGGGCGTTATATGAAGTATCTGAGTGGAAGAACAGCCACTGGACACTGATACAAAGCAGCTCCTCTATCTTCTACCCACACACAGGCAGCCACTCATAAACAGCGTGTTCTCGTGTCCGATTGGAGTGCTGTTAGCTGTTGTTGAACACATGCTGGTACTTGGCTTGAAGCACGCACACCTTAACCGCAACCAGGTAGGAGCCGAAAAACAAAACCGAGCGCGTTTCGCACGGCGCGCAGTCGACCATGCCTCTGCTTAACTGGCCTCGGGGACGCCACTCCTTGCCAATATAAGTGGCGTAGATTGCACACACGCTGATGGGCATCATCATCATCATCGTGGCGCACGGCCACAATCGTGGTTCCCACTCCGTCACAGCTGTCCATATTCCCACATCTGGTGTTTTCGTTCATAGCATATGCTAAAAGTTCTGGCTCATATTTTCAACGGCCTTTGAAGTCGTGTTTTGCATATTCGGTAAACTTTAACTACTCCTTGCCCAGATATTTAAGCTCGGGTAAGTTACCCGAATCGCTGCTGCATCAATATGTTATCAAAACTTTTCGTTAATATAAACAACTTTTGGTCCACTCTAAATTGTGATCAAACTATTGAAAATGATTTGGACAATATTTCATAACAGCAGTTTGAAACTTTGTTTTTAGTTGAGAGAGTTTTTAGTCAAGGGTTGCACATGTTTTTAACTTTTATTGATAGTGGGAGCATGCAATATTTTATAACGATTTATTTTTATTTATTTCTTTATATTATTTTTTATAGAAAGTTCATTCAAACAGCTATTTAATGTAGCTTATAATTTTCAACGAGTTACTTGATTAAATTACGTTTATCACTTTTTTTTATTGAATTAACGCCTAGCCTATCCTGTCTATCAACAAAGACCCTTTTTAAGTTTAAAAAATCCTTTTTGTTAGTCACTGGGATATATTTTATTAAATTTACTGCACAGCTGCCCATCGTCCCTTGTCTTATCCTAACATCTGCTCGAAGGTCGGAAAATCTTGTTCTTGGTTCCTAAATTGCATTAAATACACAAAATTTGTTAAATTTGGTTTATGATGGCATACTCGGTTCAGTTTTGTTGTTGCGACTAAGTGTTTTGACTGAAACCTAACCTAACTAGAAGTTGAGTTTTTACTGAAAACTGTGTGTAAATTCCGAGTTGGCAACTCGATCGCAATTCTAGCTAAACACTTTGTTTCCGGGTCAGAGCACTTTACATAGAACTATCAATGTTCATTTTGTTTTACAAATTAATGCCTGTCTTTTTTCATTTTGCAAACTCTAACAACCAATATTTGTGTTAGTCTAGAAACTTTTGCCAGGTAGTTAAAAACAATAAATAAAATATTCGCCAAGGCAATCGAAAAGAAATTTTTATTGCTTTTATTTTATTGGTATTTGAAAAATGCCAAGCCAGCTGTCAAGTGCCCTACACATAGCTCAAAGGATGAACTTTTATCAGAATGTGTGTATATCGCACATATGTACAAATGTATATATATGTATATATGTGGATGAGTATGCGTGGATGTAGATCAAAGTTGAACTGTAAGATTTGCCTTGTTGTGTCTGTAATTGACTTTCTTTGGGAACGTGCAAATTTTATAAATTAAAGCTGCATTTTCCTCTTTTTGGGTAGAGTGCTCGCCTAGCTGACTATATTTGTGTTTAAGCTAAACTTTTTGCATTTTGTGTGGAGGCATGGCTGAGCACACGGCCAAGCGATAATTAATCGTTTTAAGCAGGAGCAATTAATGCTTATGGCAAAACTTTTGTTCATGATTAATAACGAAAGTAAGCAAACTTTCAAATTAATAAGAGAATTAACAGATTACACTTTATTAAGGCTTGCCTGGCTAGGCTCAGCAATTGATTGGCCTTGGAGTATAAATAGCACAAGCTCTAAGAATATTGAAGCAATACTAACTAGTCAATTAGACAATCGTAAAAAAAAATATTTATAATAGTCATATGAAACCGAAATGCTATTTGTTTAAAGCTGAAATTGAAAATGAAAATGCATCAAAAACGTCGAGTGGGGGAATAGCAGCTAAGGTTATATATATACTCTGTAAGGAGCTTATTTTGTAAAAGTTTTTATTAAATAGCATTTGTGCTGCATATTTGAAATATATTTGATCATTGCATTGAATGAAAAAACTAATTATATTATATAATACATTACTTATAGTTGTAATAATTAGCAGGCATATCTCTTCCAATTTCAAGATGACTTTCTAAACAAACTTCTCGTTTTGGCATTCCCATCCATAAATAGGCAGTAAATTTAATTTACCAAGAAATTAGCCCACAGCACTGTTCACAGCATACGCCACAAATTGGAGCTAGGCTGATAAGTCGAAGGGTATTTGTAAAGGTAATTCTTGAGTATATAGATAGTGGTTTTAGCAAATTGTCAGTCCCAGGTGAGGCAGAAGCTTGTGGCAAGTCTGGCAGCCACGTAGGCAGCATGCAATCGGAATGTGGTTCTATTACACATGCATGGCATGGCATGGCATGGCATGGCTCGTACTCATTAAACTTGCCACGGCTCGGGGCGAGCAAACAATGCGAGCTCAAATGGAGCAGAGCAAAATGTACAACATATACCATATGCAGCTCACAAAACTCGGCCAAAATGCAATTCGTAAATTGCTTCGTACGCTGGGCCCAATCGACCAAGGACTTGAGGTAAAGCCGCACATTTAGCAGGAGCCAAAGCTACTTCCACTAATTACACAAATTGAACGCAATTTATTTGTTGGTGAGCGTGTGCTCCAGCTTCCATCTTCGTTTTCCTGATGCTGCCTCCGCAGGTCTTGGCACCTGCTGCGGCTGTTGTTGCTGCTGCCCGCCGAAAGTGCGAGCAATTTTGTTAATATTAAATAGGTACATGCACAATTATATGCATAATTACACAACAAGGTCGTCAGCAGTGGGCCACTATGTGTGTGTGAATTGGTTTGGGTGAGTGTGAGTGAGAGTAAGTAAGTGCGCGGCTTTCATAATTAAAACGCTGCTGACGCGACTCACGCGGCGTATACGTAACGTGACTTTTGCAAATTTCCTTATGCCTCGTGTATTTTATGATTTGATGTGCTGTAATTGAACTCACACACAGCCAATTACAAACAGCCACTTACACACACATACAAACGTATACACTAACAGTTAGACACACTCAAGCCGCTTTGTATGCGCCTGTTACATGATATAAATTGCAATGTGGTTTGCTTTTCTACTTGACAGCTCATAAACATCAACATAAGCGGATCACAAGCTTAACCAATTCAAGGTCTTCTGCTTGGGTCACAGCCAGTTTGACCGGAAGTTGCATTATAAGCACACATCAAACGGAACAAAGCAACGCATCAAGATGGCGGGCGGCGGCAGGACAGCCGGCAAATACGGATATTCAGACAACAATTACTACAGTAGTAAGTAGCCTACGCACACACGGACACGAGCACACACGTACACGCCCACTCAGCTTGACAGATATACATATGCATGCATGTACATATATACATATTTACAGGCAATCGCACAGAGACTTTGACAACTTCATTAACTTGCCACTGTCCAAATGGCACAGTGGTGCAAACTATCTCGAAATGTTTATATTTATTACAATACATATTAATGAAAATAGTACATATATACATAAAATATTGTTTACATTAATAAACTTGCTTTTAGCTATATGTGTATATATCAAACATTTTTCATTTTATTTTACTACTATATATATACATATTTTATATTGAGTGCCATTATTCCCATTATGTTATTTTCTATAAGCAAAAACCTTATCTTAACTAAACACAAATTGCTTTTATAGTTTATGTTTATTTTTTATGTTTCTTTGTCTTTGTTCTATGTTTCTAAGTAAGTTTTTGATGTCAAAGGCCCTCAGCATCAATTATAATCAGAATAATCTGGCATTCTCACATTATTTCTTTGATTTATATGTTATTTACGCTCCTTGCTCTTTGGGGCTCTCCACGTTGAATTCCATAGTATTGCCGCGTAAAGCGTTTGAGTGGAGGCTTACGCATGGGGCTATTGTCCTATTCATTGGGGACATCAAGAACAACATTTGGCGGCTTTGGTGGATCAGCCAGCGGCGTCGACTTGACGTCTAAGTTCTCATCCCGCCGGTTGTTTCTGCTGTTGCTCCTCTTGTTGTTGTTGTAGCTGATGAACTGCCGCCGCGTGGCATCCTACACAGTAATCACTGTACGATAGCGAGCTTTTGTGTACTTCTCGTTCCTTTTTTTTATATTTTTTTTATTACATTTTATTTTTATTTTTGGCCACCTCCACAGACGTGTTTTTATTACATTTGTATTTTGTTGCCTTTCGTATTCTTGTAAACAAGTGTGTGTACGGAATACACATATATATGTATATATATATATGTATATTTAGTGTGAGTTTGGGGTTTATGTACATTTTATGCTACCTTGTGCACTGAATATCATTTACTTTTGCTCTCAAATACAAATTCGATTGCCGACTAGACCGAGCCTTGCATGGAGAGCACGCAAACCCCAGGGATCAAATATTACATAGGCATTGTCTATGAATGAACGTATAGAAGCCATGCCAGCATACGACTTTTTGCTGTGTTTGCATAAAGTTTTGTTTTCTCAGGTCCTAGCGACGCCCAACCACGTCCACTCGCCATCTTAAGTAGGTTTATGCCCTACGAACGCCTCCGGGCCGCCCGCTGGCAACACTTACGTACGTAAGACAGTGTATGTGTGTGTGTGTGTGATGCCGGAGCTTGGCTGCTGCTTTTGTGCTCTTATATAAAACTTTATCATAGTTTTTGATTGCCACAAATTGTGCGTGAATTATGTATTGTGATCCAGCTAAATGCAATAAATATGTATGTATGTATATTATACTGTTAGAATGTGCCGAAAATCCACCTACAAAGACCACCTGTCACAGCAGTGTCTGGGTGTAGGTGTAAGTGTGTGTGTGCTGAGGGTAGAACGACCTTGTTAAAGCGAGCTTCATGCCCGCAGTGTTGGCAAACAGCATAAAATGGACATAAAACAAGTTTCGGGATTTGTCTATATAATTGAAAATAAATATCAATTTTATGGGAAGTGGCGTGCTAATGGTTTATGCTCTATATATACTTCATTATTATTGCCATTGTTTAGTCAACAAATTGCCTTGAGTGTTCATTTTATTTATTTACCAATTGAATTCGATTGCTTGCTCGTCAAGTGGATTTCAAACGAATTAAATTCTTAAAAATTTATCAACACGCATTTTTCTTTTTTATGAATATTTCACAAAGCGCCATAAAGAGTAAAATTATTCAAACAGCTTTTGGCTAAGCTGGCTGAATTTTTAATAAGTTCAAGTGGATAAATGGAAATATTTAGTTAAATTCGCTTAAATTTAATGTATTTATTTTTGTATACTATTAAACCCACATTAGCTTGGATAGCACTTCAAGTAAATATTTTCATATTTCTTATAGATAAGGTGCGAATTTATTTATATAAATTATATGTTTAAAGAAATAATAATAGAAAATATTAAGTGTGATGTACATATACATATCTATATGAATCGCCCACAATGCTTACATGACTACAATAGCTACCATCTAACACAGAGCAATTTAAAATATCTACATTTTCGAACCATTGAGTGAAGAAAACTTCGTTGATTTGGATTATCTGTCATGGGATAAATTATCATTACTTCTCTAAGAATTCTTTGGCCGGAAATTTTTTAATGGTCGGATAGATGATATGAGCCCAGGATATGCTATTGAGGAGGATTATAATGAATGCCCATAGGGTTGGCAGTATGCCAGCAACTGCCTGAAGAAACAAATAGTTCATAATTAGCTCGGCTAAGAGAAATCAATCTCATGCATGCTTACCAAATATTTGGTCTTAATGTAGGCATAGCCACAAATGATGGCATTTGGGGGTGTGCTAACCGGCAGATGATAGGACATGCTGATGGCCAGAGCGGCTGGTAAGGTTAGCGTCAACGGATGAACCTTGACCGTGACGGCCTGAAGGAATGACAATTGATGCAGCAACTGGAAGTCAATGTCCAAGTGACTTGGAATAGCTGTACTTACCATTTCGCTGAATATGGGAATGAGTATGTTGCAAATGGCCACATTCGCACTGAAGCACGTGCAGAAGAGGCTAACCACGACAATAAAAGCTATAATTAAAGAATTTGGCATTACAGTGATGAAGGCCAAGGAGTCGCCCAGCATTTTGGCCATTCCGCTGACCTTACTGCCCTCGGCAAGCGCAAAGCCGCCCCCTAAATCAAAAGCACACTAATAATACTTCACATAAATATGAAAGAGTTAGATTCTACCAAGCAAAAAACACAGGCCCCAAGGCGTATTATTGTGAAGGAAGATCCAGGATATGCAGGCGTCCATGCTGCGTCCAGTGAAAGGAGCTGTTGTTAGTAAATAAATTAGTTCCGATAGTCGATTCGAGATTTTGAAGCCTACGTCAACTTACGTCCTTTACAGCAGTACCTGAAGAAAGTGTACTGTGTGGGCAGGGCGAACAGCACAATAACTGTTATAAGCACCGGTGATGCGCCACCTATATGTCTAGATAGGATAAATTAGTTGATTGTTAAATGTGGATGAAAATACCAACTTTAAATCTTTTGCAAAGACTGTCTGCATGGCCACACTGAAAGCATTCGGCATTGTAAACTTACTTAGTGTTCAGCACATCCGCCCAGCCTTTCATGAAGCCTGGCCTTTGAAAGAAGAGCAGCAGAATCATCATTACGAAGATGATGCCTACTTGTATTTCATGGCAAGTCCAGCGACCCAATGCAGAGTAACGTTCCTGGAGCACCAACTTAGTGGCAGACTTACTTATTGAGCCACGTTTCACTTGCTTAGCCACATCACTCTTCGGTCGCCACAGACCCATGTGCGTTACTTGCAGCGTTAAAAACACAAGTAATACATTTACGATTGAGACAAACGGCATTGCGTACATCATGAATTTCGGAAAGTCCACTTTCTCCTTGATATTGGGAAAACGACTGTGGAAAAATGATTCGCTTAAGAAACCGGAGCCGAATCAATTATGCAATATTGCCTACGTTTCATATAGACCCTTATAGGTAAGATTTGTGCCGGTGCCAATGAGCGTGCCAGTGCCTCCAATGGTGGCAGAATATGCGACACCGAAATAGAATGCCATCGATACCTTTGAAAGATGCGGCGGACTAATCAAGAGAATTACAATGTAAGCAATGCTGTGCTACTCATATGAATCTATATATGTAGATTACTCACTCGCCCTCTTCCATCCTCTCCTCCTCTTGTGTCATATACACTTGAAATGAGTTTTGCTATATCAAACATGAAATTCGACTATGGGGATAAGATGGCTATGGGATTACGTGATTTGTGACTTACAGCATCCATTTCCATGAGAATAGCCTTCACAATGGGACACATCATGGCCGTAGCAGCAGAGTTGGATATCCAAAATGATATGAAACATGTGACCATGCTAAGACCAAAGTGTAAGCTGCTTAAGAGGAATGAAAGGAATATCTATACAACTTCCCGTTCTGAATCAATAACAATTCTTACCGCCGAGGACTGCAGCCGACCACGAGGATAGTGCCCAGCGCAATGCGTTGATGGAGATTGCTATATTCAACGGCCAGCGCTACAAAGAGGCCGCCCAGAAACATGATTAAAGTGTCAGTAAAAAACAGTCGGCATACAGCATTTGAATCCTAGGAAGAACAATTATATCGTTTCCGTTTGGGGTTTAGCAAATTGGCTAGCACTCACCAATATGCCGAATATTGGCAAAAATACTATCGGAAGCAATGATGTCAAATACAGAGGCATACATTCAGTCACCCAGAAGAGTGCCATATTCACTACCAGATACAAGCACCTGAACTCCTTCACAATAATGTTTGATGAAAGTGAAAGTCTTGTGGTTGACCACAATGGGATCTACTTACTGGAGCGTTTTTAATATAGCCAATAACAAGGATGGGCAGCGTGACCAAGGGCACTATAACGGTCACCTTGCCCCTCCAATGGAATCTGCAACATGATTTAACACTCTGACTGGCTGAGATTTTATTTTCGCTGTGTGTGAAGCAAATGCATTTCAAATAATTGCAAACTTTTCATTGTACGCTAATACATACTCAGCCATTACAATTTTGTTTTGCTATTTTCAATATTTTCTTTCCGAAATTGATTTCACTAATATTTGATGAAAAGAATAACAAAAACATAGTTGGTTTGAAGCTATCGACAAAGCCAACTTTAAGTTCAGGCAACGAAGGCAACAAACCGAGATGGCTCTGATAGCTGGTCGAATCAGCAAGCTGACCCACATAATGATATTCCATCCCATATGCTAATTAGGGCCAACGATTGGTACCCCGCGAGCTGATGTCACTTGCAGCGCCGCTTTGATGTTAAATAATTGACAATTTCCTTTCACACTCCCAACTCGAAATGAACAAAAGGTAAATTGAAATTAAAGCTCAAAACAGACATTAAAGCGAAAGTCGAGATATTTGTGGGGCTGTGGTTGTGCTATGGAATGTTGAAGTGGCAGCAATGTAATCCAGGTTGAGTCTCCATCTGCACAGCATGTGGATCTGTATACATACATTTTTATGTGTGTCTGCTTGTTGGCATAAAGCTTCAATCAGAACAAATCACGCAGAGTGTTTCTGCAAATTCTTTAATGCTGGCCATAAAGTCCCCCCAGAGACAGCTTCTGTTTCATCTGTTCGCTCCCACCAAGAAATAAATATCAGAAGCATTCATAATAATAATAATAATAACAATAATAATAACAATAATATTAATACAAATAACTTTATTGGCAGCAAACAATAAGTGAAACTTAATACGAAAATGTGTGCCACGTACCCCAATGGAATGAGCCAGAATTTGGAGCCGACTCGTTGCCTTAGTCTCACTCCTCACTTTTCCCGTTCACTCGCCAATCTCAATAATTTATGCTTTGCTCGCTTGGGGTATTTGTATGCCAGTTCTCATTTAGTTGTCAATTTTGTTCTTTTTTCAAGGTTTGCTTACGGCACTCGGTATTTTCATTTCTTTTTATCTTGTCTATTTCACAATTTTACAATTTGACAGCTAAAAGTTTTTCTTTTTTTCGCTGGACGTTCTGGGAATTTTTCGACATATCCTTGTTGGTAGGCATTTGCATGTCGGTTGGGTAAAATTTTTGGAATACTTTTGGTTGTTGTTGTTGTTTTTTTTTTTTACCACACCATAAATTAGCTTCAATAAACTATAAGCTAAACCAAGTGTGAACAGACCTGTCGATTTCGTTATATATATGTACATATATATAAATATGTGCTCCTGAAATACGTTTCATCTGAGCACATTCATCTTAATTTAAAATTCATATTTGTTTTAATTATGTTTCAGTTGACTTGCCTTTGAAAGAAACATTTTAAGTCAAACTTTACGCAATTTCTGAATTGTAATTTAGACAAGACTTTTCCAGACGTTCATTATGCATTCATTTATGCTATATATTTTTAGCTATAGCTCTACCTATATCTATGGCTCTAGTTTGCAACAGTCTACCCTCTTGTTTCTTTGAATTCATATACAATATAATTAATTCATAATCTAGCAGAAGAGCGGCATACCAGAGAGAGATAAAGCATTGCCTACATCTAGGGGCTGTAAGAAAAATGCCTTGGACTTGGTTAAAGGACACTGGCCCATTAGCCATGCCACTTGACTTTAATTTATTAGGCCATATAGTCATCAGATCGTTAAAAGCCGGCTTGAGTTCAACTAACTGAAGTAATTTAAGGCACCTAATTAACAGATCCAACGCGACGCAACGGTTGCTTGGCCAACAACAATCAAGATTTTAATTTGCCCCAATATTCTGTTGCAAGTGGGTAGAGAGGGATACGAGACGATGGCGGTTCAAGCTTCATCGATTATGTGTTAAATTACGCAGAGAGCAAACATCTTGGTTAAATGGAGCGCACAAAAAAGGCCGCCATTTGCCAAATAGACGATGCCATAGAAAATATCGACGCATATATGTTTATATTGCATGATGTTTATTCAGCTAATAACATTGAATATAAGCTAAGCGAATTCCATCAAAAGTTGTCAAAACTTTTGCTTGAATATTTGAATTGAAAATAAATTCAGTTTGAGAAACGTTATAAAACCTGGAAAGTTATAAAATTAAATTTAAAAGATAATTGCGCCTCTTTTTATGTTTTTTATTTATTTTATTTTTTTTTTTATCTTATAAAATTTAATTTATTCGATTTAATTGTCTCAAGTATATAAAAACCGAAAACAAATCATTTTTTGTTAAAAAAATAACAATAAAACATTTTACCTTATTTTTTATTACATACAAATACCAAGATATATAATATGTGGAATCTGTGCACACATATATTATATATCTTCCAACAAATAAATTCAGAGGTAAACTCATTTAATCAAATATGTAAATTTGTTGACAGAGTAATAATTCCATAAATAATTTATAAAATTATGTACATTTTCATGAGGTTTTTTAATTTTATTTTTTTTTTTCTGACATTTCTGCTGTTGATAAAGACATTAATAATCCATGCACAAATCATAAAACTTTGATACATCTCCTGCAATAAAAGCGAAATTGCGAATCCAAATTTAATTTAATATTTTATTGTTTTGTTTTATTTATCTCTGTTATTTATCTGAAACATGCGTACCTACATTTATGCTTGGCCATTATTTATAAGAATGCATTTGTCAGGATATGCGCAAATACATACATAAATATATATATATATATACATATTGTTGGTTTCTGTTTGATGTAGCTGATGTTGAATATGCATGAGACCTAACAAGCCGAAATGTTTATTGACATAAAAGCCCTAAAGCTCTCCTGCTCCGCGAAACACACAGACACACAGCTTGTAAAAACAACGAGTACAATAAAAACACCAACAACAATAACAACAACAAATGTTGACCAATTTGTCAAAGCCATCACGAAATGTTAATCTCTTTATCTTCTTTGCTTATCTTGAATCTATGCAGGTCACTCGTACAAGAGCATCAACGACGAAATCATACTGGTCAGCATTATAATGGGCATTACGATAATCGTTCTGATCACGATTGCCCTGTGCTACATTGCGTATGAGAAATGCCACAAGAAGCGTGAATATTTTATCAACGCCTAACGGGTGCACACATCACAAAACAAACCAAAAACATATAAAACTAAAGCTGAAAATGAAACAAGAGGGAACGACACACAAAGGGGTAAATGGCAAGGTCAAATGTCAACAGGACAGCCGTGGCAGCAACCGCTGCGACTGCTGTTACTGCTGCAACTGCAACAATGTTGACGTTGACGCTTAAGTTGGTAAACGCGTACGACAGAGCCGAAGGCGAAGGCGAGCAGCCGGCAGAATTAAAGAACACACACCCACACATACACAAATAGACACACTTACGCACACTCACGTACTGTTAAGATTAGTGTATGCATGTCTACTGTGTGTAGCATTTGGGGTATTCATTCGATTTTCTTCGATTTCAAATTTGGCTAAAATGTATGAAGTGTGCACAGTGGTACAAAAGTGTTATACAAATGCTTACGTTAAAAATATGAAATGAAACATTTATTATACATATTTTTACTAATTTACTTAGCTTTGATTAAAATATTTATTATATATTTTATTATTGTTATTAATTTTTTGATTTCATACATTTTAAATTATTTTAAAATATTAGTGTGTGTTTATTTATTTTCTTAAATTTTCATTTTATAAAAATATTGAATTTTGCAAACTATAAATATTTATAAACGCAAAAATTTTCAATCTTAACAAATTTTCGAATCGGTCAAGTATCCGCACATGCAAGAGATGGAAACCGAGCTCTTTTAGAATTCATACCTAGTTCTGCCTCTATCTCTCTAAATAGTTTTGTAAAGTTAAGGTCCAAAAGAAATAAATTTCAGTTCAGGTTTCCATTTGCTGCATGGTAAAAATGAAATTAGAATTAACGATGCAACTTAATTCGTTGCTAAATATGCACATATAAAATATATTTATATCTATATACATACTATAAAGTACTTAATTGAGCTTTATATACGATTACCTACCAATATACACATATATCTACACTACACAACCTGTTCGTGGAACTTAAAACGAGAGCAGTCGATAGAGTTTGAAGTGCAGCGTATCTACTTTTTATTTTAATTAAACGCAGCGCAATTCGGTTTAATTTAAAGTAATACTAAAATGGAAATGCAGCAATCCCTTTATTTATTTTTTATTTTTGTGAAGGTAACACCCGCTCTCGATATATGTATATATATGTAGCTGATGCAGATGCCAATTTCAACTATTGAATCCGGGGGAGCAGTTACCCAGTCAAAGGAAATCAGACAGACAGACAAACAGGCAGACAAATAGAAGGACAGAGAATAAGCCAACAAACAAACAAAAAAAAAGTAAAAATGAACTGAGTGAAGTGAGTTTTCTTATTTTCTCGTTTTTCCTTGCCCTTTTTCGGTGGCTCGAGGCTATAATAATAAAAACAGTAACGGAAACTGGATGCAAGGCACACGAACAAAGCGCCAGGAAACAATGAAAAGAAACGTCGCATAACAATTGTCTGAAAATAAAACGGGAACCGAAATTAGGAGTAGAGAGAATGGGATGCTAACGCGGATAGCTTCAATGGCCAAATCAACTTGAAATTAAATTAGTGGGAATGGTGCACATAAAAGGTTGTTTTTTGACCACAATGAACATCAGCTGAGGTTCCGACCTATTGAATATAAATGTCGGCTTTAACAGCTAACGCCAAAACACCTACACGCTGTCCAACTTTCCCACCCACACGCACACACAGACATACACACAAACACACTCGCTTCCATGTAGGGACTAAATGTTAATCAGCTTAGCTGGCATGCATGCAATCTATCTTTATTTTTAGGCCCCATAAACAGGCTTGTGTGCCTAAGAGCACGAAACATAAAGAAGAAGCTGTTACCAGGAAAAAAACATAACAAAGTCTCAAACAAACGCGCCTGGCAACGGGCGTTATCCTGTCGCATGCCCTTAAAAATTAAACACCTGATTAATGGCAACGTTTGCTTAACCAAATAATATCGAGCCTAACAAATTGCCGTAACCTAATGGGAACACATCAATTCTTTCTCGTAGCCATTGACGTAGTCCATTAGGACATACCAAAAATTTGCCACATGTGTGTGCTAATAAGCAGGTTAATTTCAAACGTCAGATATCGTAGCAAATGGAGATAGAAATATTTCATAGACAAATTGAATTATGAGACTCCCTGTGTTTATAATTCCATTCTTCCTGTTTTATATCCTTAGCCAACGATAAGCTGTTGATATTTAAATTACCACGCGTTAGAGTATACAGCAACAAACATTATGGTTTGTCTTTTATCAAAATAATATAATTTTGCCTTCGTCTAATTAGAATTAAATGCATATACTCTTAAATAATTGTTAGTTTAAGTAGCCCAACGATGTCGGACAAAATTCAAATTCATTCACTCCAAAAAACCATTGAAGCTTACAGCTCTTTTGTTGTAACTCTTGTAACTGCGCCAACTTTGTTAGTTTGATAGTGGAGCATTAAAAGCCAGCTATTTCGAAATGCGACTTTTAAGCATCATAAACTTGCTCAGAGGGGCACTTAAATAACGCGACCTAAATGAGTGGAGCATGAGACAAATTGTAACGCCCTTTAATATGGTGTAAAAGTCAACGCGAAAAACTTCACTAATTACCCGCTAAAGAAGAAAATCCTGCATAAAGCTCATATACACACACATACAAATACATAAGCAACAAAAATTTTATGTTAGCCATAAGAAGCGGAAACAGATTGGTTGAGCACGCGAAAGCAGAAATAATAGGATATAGCGTGTCAGGAAATGTCGTGTCAGGGGAATGCATTCATAATAATCTTATCCGAATGAAATTTTAGTAAAGCTGCGTCCAAAACGAATGACTTGTGCAATTTGAAATGCACCACGCACAATCACCTAGTCACACACGAATAGACCCATACTTGCACATATATATACACACACAGACGCACATGGTTTTGCAGCTCTATAGACGTTCTTAGACACAAGTAGTAAACTTTGCGTCCAATTTGATAGCTTTTTTAGTGCTGCTGTCACACTAATTGCCACCAAAATATAAAAGTATTAAAATTACCGAATTACTTTACTGTCGTTGAAATACGTGTGTTTTCTATGCATTTAATCTATTGAACAAAAATCTATATACCTACATACATACTATATACCCGAATTAATGTGACCATTACTAATATATATATATATATATTTACTGTACGAGTAGTTTAATTAGAATGCAGCGCACTCTTTTTTCATGAAAAGAGGGACCAAACCATACAACAAACACTGAGAAAAACGTGTACTTTATTTTGAAAAGTGAGATCTATAAATGTTAAAAACAACTACTCCTAAATGTTATATATACTTATATATATATATGAATTGTAGCGAATTTGTTAAATTTAATTTATATATGCGATATTATAATGTACAACACAATAAAGATCTGTTTATGCATGGTTAATGTTTCTGCGACTTTTATTCATAGCAATAAACAACTTGAACTTGAAAGTGGCGCGCAGATGTGTTGAACAACGAATTAATATGTGTAGTCTTGATATCGATTATTTATAACATTCAATTAGAGTGCAGAATGAAACCAATAAGTGCTGCTAGATCTGGATATCAGTTTTTGTCTCATTTGATTTATATGTAAACTGGTAAGCATCTTATAATTAATACGGTAAGCTTAGTTTAAGAAGTTGTTTATTTAATTGAAGACTGATTAACGATTATTGGAACTCATATTTCCCTGAAACTAACAGTAAAGAGTATGTTAATGTTGTGCCGCTGTTATGTTAACAGCATATCTGTTTGGCAACAACAACAAAATGTAAAAAGACGGAACTTGTTGCAAAAGTCGCCAAAAATTGTTTAAAAAACTAAGAAGGCACTCAACAAGCAAACAACATACGCAGGTGCAGTGGTTAATAGAGGCTTGACAACTAAATGCGCATTAAAATGGATTGTGAAGTGCCTGAGCAACAAAAACACCAGTACCAACACCAACAACAACAACAGCAGCAGCAGCAGCAACAACAACAACAAAGCGCCAACAAGTATGCGAGAAAGCCAAAGACGTCGCAGCAGCAGCAACAGGAAAGCAGCGACGACGATGACTTGAGCAACGCGGAACGTAAGAATCTGGAATTTGCACAAAAATTAGGCTATAGCGAGCAGTCGATACACACGGCGTTAACGCGTCTTGGTTCAGAGGCTAAACAAAACGAGCTGCTGGCAGAACTTATTAAACTAACAGCAGATGCGCCGCGTCCAATAGTCACCAACAGCAGCAGCAACAGCAATAACAACAGTCATGTGTCACCCCCCGTGAGCAGCAGCAGCAGTAGCAGTAGTGGATCGCTACGGCATATTGTCATCGATGGTAGCAATGTGGCCCTGTCACATGGTAATCACACCATCTTCAGCTGTCGTGGCATACGCATCTGTGTGGACTGGTTCAGGCAGCGTGGCCATCGTCATATCACAGCATTTGTGCCTAACTGGCGCAAGGAGCTGGCCAACAACAATATAACTGATCAGGAGCTGCTCTATGAGCTGGAACAGGAAAGAGTGTTGGTGTTTACACCATCGCGGCATTTGGATGGCAAACGTGTTTCCTGCTACGATGATCGTTTCATACTCAAGCTGGCAGTAGAAACAGACGGTATTGTGGTATCAAACGATAACTATCGAGATCTGTTGCTGGAGAGCAACGAGTTCCGGCGTGTTATCCAGGAACGGTTATTGATGTACTCTTTTGTGGACGACATCTTTATGCCGCCCGATGATCCACTGGGTCGGTCCGGGCCTAGTTTGGATATGTTCTTGCGCTCACCGAGTCAGCAGAAAATAGCGGACGCACAGCAACAATTGTGTCCATACGGTAAGAAATGTACATACGGACAGAAGTGCAAATTTCGTCATACGACGCAGGTTCAGCGTCTGCCGCTCCAGGTCTCGCACAGTGCTCCACTACACAGCAACGGTGGACAGCAGCTACTGTCTACCAGTGGCAGTAGCAGCAATACTGCAAAGATGGCGGCGCTGGCCCGCACCAAATCGAATACAGTTGACAAAATCTCACAGCAGCAGCAGCAGCAACAGCTCTGTCATTCTTTCAACCAGCTGGAGCTGGGCAGTAATAGCTGCGACGTAGAGCCGGCGCAGCTTCAGAACCGCCACAAGAAGCTGCAAAGGCAGGCGCCGTCCCCTTCCTTTCGATTGCTAGTTCCCACATACAGCGCGCCACATCAGCAACAACAGTTAGGCAATAATAATATCAATGGCAATTATCAACATCAGTATCTGACTCGTACACCGTCCGAGCCGCTGACGGATCAACATCAGGCCACCAAGCTATCCATTCCTGCCCACAATCTAGCCCATTTGTCAGCCTCCGATTCACGCATCAACGAAGAGTTGCACCACACAAAACGTGAGGAGCAGCGCAATATGCTACGCTATCACTTGAACAGCCTATTCCCGCAACATCAGGTGCATGCTGTGCTACAGCTCTACCCTGATGAGACCGATGCGAAGACAATCTGTGCAGCAATACTTAATTTATTTCCGCATAATTAGACTAAATCTTAGGCTAGACGCAATCTTCACAATTAAGCAGCGTTCGTAAATTATTTCCAAGTACTTGTTACAGTTTAAAGTTGTATAATCAATTACGTATTGTAATTCATATATATATATATGCATTTATATATAACAATTTGTTATAATTTTATACACATACCTATATACATATATCTATATGATTAATATGTGTTAGTTAGCGTTTACAGCTCCAAGCCAGTCTTGGCCCCCGTATATATGGGATACAGTTCATCCACATTGGCATTGACGCCGCCACCCCTTCGGTCGTGCGTTATTCTATGATTGCGCAATTTATAAGCCTGGGGAAAGCCTTTGCCACAAATCTCGCAGCTGTCAAGGAACACAAAATACATTAGAATAAATGTGTGGTATGTGAATGATTCAACTTACACATGCGGCTTTTCGCCCGTGTGAATCATCTTATGGAATTTCAGCGTATTCGTGTAAGTGAATGTCTTGTGGCACACATCACACTCATATGGACGCTCGTTTGTGTGTATGCTAATCAAATTGAAATGTATATATTTTCATATATGTATAGGTGTGTGTTTGCGTAAAACAATACTTACCGATGATGCTTGTTACGTGTAGAGAGATCCGCAAAGGCGGCCGGGCAATAGGTGCACTTGTAGGGCCGATTGCCTGTGTGCGTGTTCATGTGTCGTGCTAGCTGCTGAGCCTGTGCAAAGCAATGACCGCAGATTCTAAAAGGAAATTTATATCTCAATTGATGTATCAAACTGAAAGGCAGTTTTCGTAATACTCACTCGCATTCGTGTGGCTTAACGCCAGAATGCACCTTGATGTGCTCGGTGAGGCGACTCTGCGATGGATACATATTTCCACAAATATCGCATATGTATTTAAATTCCTTCTTATCGCCCACGAGAATCTTGTGTCCCCCTTTGGTCTTAATGCCTGCTGTCTTGCGCACAATTGTTTCCCCAAAGGTTATGCTCTCGTCGGGATTCAATATGATGTTGGTTGTGGTCACGCTACATTTCTCACGTTTTATATTCCCTAAAGCCGTTTTGCTTGTGGCGGCTTTTCGCTGGTTTGCACGTCGTTTGATACCGGAGCGTGTCGACATCGTACGCGATTTTACTGGCAGAAATTCCTCGTCAGACGAATTTTGAACCTCTATTTCATCCTCGTGTGCGCTTTCTGTTAACTGATCCTGATCCTGATCCAGCTGCTCAAGATACTCTATATCGGCCGACAGACCAGATATAGACTGTGTGCCAATATCCTCATCACCTTCTTCAGCATTACCTTCCTCGTAGGCCGGTTGTTCGGTGACTAAATCACCGTCGTATGCCTCATATACATCATACAGCTCCTCTATAATGCCATCCTCCTCCACCTGTTCGCTTTTTACATGAACCAGCCTTTCCTTGACCTCCACGTGTTCATCGTTGGTCTCTTCATTGCCTGCCAGCACCTGTCCCTCATTCAACTCTATACCCGAGGGCTCATGGCTAGCACTGAGCCCATTATCATCTTCTTCGACCGACTGTTCCACTACAACAGGGGCTATGAATTGCCTTAGATGTTTGTATGAGCGCTGGCAAACTCGACGAAACTTGTATGCAATGTGTAAATTCTTTAAACATTTTTCGCATATCTTGTCCGGATAGTGATCGAATTTCTTTATCTGAAAGCAGTACAAATCATTTTCAAAATTCCACTCATTTCAATTATTTGTCTAATGTTTTGTTTTTAATTCAATCTTACGGGTACGCCGCCGCATTCTAGTATCATGTTCGTCAAATCTTTCGATGCGTCGTCATTGAAAATGCTGCCCATCGCTTCTTTTGGTTGCTGCAAGCACACTCGGCATACTATCCACTTCTGTGTTGTTGCAGTCGTTGTTGTTGGCATCATTTAAAATTGTACTACCTCAAGGAATGCACAAATTATCCAATTTCTTCTAGACGACGCCAAAAAAATGTTAAAAATATATTAAAGGCAAAAATCCAAGCTGTTGCCGTTGTTGTGTGAATGGCATCTATTAAGGTGACCGTGGCATCATGCATGTGGTATTTTTCTGTAGTTACATTGAGTAAATGCATACACATTTTATATAATATTTATGTTATAAAAAATATATAAATATATATATTTTATTTATTTTTAACTGATATTTTAATACTATCATTAAGCATAAATAGCTGAATTCAATTGCTTAAAATAGTATATACTCAAATTTAAAATACTAAATACTATTGGGCCATGTACGCGTCCGCAAGTGAATGACAAGCATAACAAGGGACGCTTGCATTATTATTATAATTTGGCCAAAATATAAGATATATGTATTTATAATTTGTATGTTTTGCAACAATAAAATACAAAAGTTATGAAAACTGAATTAAATGAAAAATGGATTGTATGTCGGGTGTGCCTAAGCAATCCCAACGACGGCGAAGATCTATTGCTGGACATATTCAGTCAAAATGCCAGTACCCGCCTTGATCAAATGCTCCACATCTGTGCTGGAATCCCTGTACGTACAATACAAATTAAGTAATAGCTCCAGCACTCTTATAAACCCAACTTGTATTGCATTACAGGTTAGCATCGATGACAACTTTCCAGACAAGATGTGCAGCAAATGTGTACGAGTACTGCGGATCGCTTACAAATTCCGTCTGACTTGTCAGAGGTCGCATCAACACATCGCGGATATGCTTTCCACGGAATTGGATACCGGTGGAAGCAATGATTACGAGGAAGAAGATGAGGCCATAGCGAATGCTTGGGAGGAGCAGACACAAATCAAAATCGAAGGCGAAGTTGAAGAAACGAGCGGTGAATTCATAAATTATGTAGTTTCAGGGGACGACGCTGAGGGAGACGGGGATGAGGATGCCATTGTTTATGATGCCACCAACACTGAGGAAGAACAGAATACCGTTGTATACGATGACGCAACTGTTATTGAGGTAGCGGAGGCAGAAATTGAAACGGAAACCGAGGTTGAAAACTTTGCAGACTATGAGGAACTGGAAGTCCTGGCAACCGAATCACTGCCCCCAAGTAGCACTTCAATGCAAACAAAAATAGCCACTCAGCGCATTGTGTGGACCGACGTGCCCGATGATCCCATGAAGAATGATATCTTAAGCTCCGACGATGAACATTACATGCCCGATACTAAGGCGGAACCACGCCTGCTAAATCGTGTGCGACAGCCGCGCAAAGTGCAGCTGCGACCAAAGACTTCAGCAGGCTCTTTAGCCGCTGAGCACGAGGAGAAGAAAATGGGACGCAAACCGCGCGACAAACATTCCAATTATATTTGCGATGTTTGTGGAAACATTTATCCTTCACAGGCGCGTCTCACTGAACACATGAAATTCCACAGCGGAGTCAAGCCGCACGAGTGCGAGTAGGTTTGGTCCATGCTATAAGGGCGAAGAACGTATTTAATAATCCTTCATTTACTGTGCAGGATCTGTGGTCGTGGATTTGTCCAAAACCAGCAACTGGTGCGGCATATGAACACACATACAGGTAATCGACCTTACAAGTGCAATTTCTGCCCAGCGGCCTTCGCTGATCGTTCCACCAAGACAAAACATCATCGGTAAGTACTACGGTAAATATTTTAAAAATAATAAAATTAGTATATCTGCATACACCCACAGCATACATACAAAGGAGCGCCCATATGAATGCGATGTCTGCCTTAAAACATTTACTTATTCGGACAATTTGAAATTTCATAAGATGATACATACGGGAGAAAAGCCGCACGTGTAAGTTTTAGTTGAGCAACCCAAATATAATTGTAACTAATCATTTTTTTGGTTTTTGCAGTTGTGATTTGTGTGGCAAAGGATTTGTCAAAGCCTACAAAATGCGATTGCATCGTGTAACGCACGAGAAACGCGGACCCTGGAAACCTGTTGAGTTGGACCTGGAAGCTCAGGAACGCATGAAAGACAATGTGTCCGAGATGGTGATTGGCATATTGCCATCGGTTTAGGCCTTGTACAAATCATAATTGTAAACTTATATTTCATTAATATTATTTCATAAGTTGTGTGCTAATTGTTTTACTTGTGCTCCTTATATGGAGCAGGGATAATAGGTCCCAAAACGAAAACAAAGCCAAATTATTATTGTAACATCAATTATAAAAACGTTTTTTATGATATTTTCAATTTGGATTTGGAAATTCCAATTAGTTATCCTTGAGAGAGAGAGAGATTGTATTATAATTTATATATTTATTGTTGTACTAAAAAGTGCTTGCTTAAACTCTAGCCCCAATGGAAATTACTCCTCTTCCATTGTTATCACTGCAATATCCAGTTCTTTGTTCGCTCTGTGCGAACGTTCATGTGTGTTCTTATGGTGTGCCTGGGAAAATCGTCGAGCACAGTATTGGCAGCTAAAAGGTCGCTCTCCCGTATGAGTTTTGAGATGCACATTCAACACATTGGAGTAGGCAAAGGACTTTGGGCAGTATTTGCACCTATACGGTCGTTCATTAGTGTGGATGCTAAATAAAAATAATTATAGAAAGTACATAAAGTGATATAAAGCGTTGCCCCTCACCGTTGGTGCTTAATTCGTGTGGAAGGATCTGCAAACGAAGCGTCGCAGTAATCACATTTATATGGACGTAAACCCGTATGAGAGTTCATGTGCCGGGCCAGCTGTGGCGTCTGACGGAAACGCTTGTGGCAGATTCTACAATATTAAATTGCAATTAAAAGTTTCAATTTGAGCATTAAAGCTTTGTTGCTTACTCGCACTCATGTGGTTTGTGCACACTGTGTAGTTTTAAATGTGTTGTTAACTTCACTTTCTCTGTGTATACATTGTTGCAGATATTACACACATATGTGACACCCAGAGGTTTGGACGCCTCTGGATAACATGTAGGTGGCATCCCGGCGATTGTGCGATTACGGCGGATTGGCCTGTATGGCTGCGCTTTTATATTTGCCCGTGCTGGTGTTGCAGGCTTTATTGTGATAACTTCTGTACTGTCCTGGCTGCCTGCAATACTGGCTGTTTCCAGTGTCACCTCGTATGAATCGATAAAATCCGATGGCGTTTCGTTCCCACTGTCCGGCTGAAACTGCTGTTGTTCCTGTTCGTGCTTCAGCTTTTGCAGTTGCTCCTCTGCCTGCTGGCACATGCTACGCAGCTTCAAAGCTGCTCGGAGTAGCAGGGCACAGCTTGTGCATATTTTATTTGGCATGCGATCATCTTGTGTTAGCTGCAAAAAGAGACCCACCTATTGCAATTGCCTCTGTAGCTATAGTTGAATTTCACTGCTCACCAGCACGCCTGTGCATTGTTTAATTTGTACAACAAAATTCGATTCCGTGGCCATAAGCGTCTCAGCTTTGGGATGTAGCAAACAAATCCTGCAAATCGGCTCCGTGTTGTCCATGTTGTTCAACTGAAATGTTGTGGTCAATGAGAGTTGTTGCATTAATAGCAGTATATCGATAAATACCTTTATGATATCGACGTTCATAATATATTTTAAAGCGATGATTTTGCAACGGACTCAAAGACAACGGTATAAAAATAAATTTCAGTTCATCATAGTTTCTGCCACTTAACAAAAATATTAAAACGTTCGCCTAAAGAATATAAGAGTTTAGAGATAAACAACATAATTATTATAATCACACTATCTCCAATTGGTATTATCACTAACCAGAGTATCGAGTATTATTCGCGCATATCTCGATGTCTAGCTACCGATGACGATAATTTTATGTTATGATACAACAAATACATTTGATATATTTCAAAACAATAATACCATACAGTCAAATCATATTAATATCATATTATGGCAGCAAATGAATTGTTAATGGACATTGGAGCCGTATGTCGAGTTTGCTTACAGGATAGTGATACACATATGGTTTCCATTTACGAGCGAGACGAGGAACAACGCGGACTATCTATTTGCGAGAAAATTGAAAATTGCAGTGGCATTAAAGTAGTCTTTCCCTTTGATACAACTACAAAAGCAAAGATTTATTGAGTTCGAATTTCATTTTTAGATAGTACGCACTTCTGAGCTACCATCTCGCATCTGCCTGAAATGTCGCGCATTTTTAACGTTGGCACACAAATTTCGACAGATTTGCCGCCACTCAGATATTTTCCTGCGTGAATACATTTGCAAAGACGTGAGAGAGGAGGACGCAGTGCACCAGGTTATAGAAACACCATCCACCCAAACATACGAGGACGTCGAAGTGGAGGTACTGGAGGAAGGTATTTGGTGCAATGATGAAATAATTGAAGAACCTCCTGCTGCTCAAGATGAAACAAGTACCATATTAGTGCCCACTGAAGAAGTAGTAACCACGCATGTTTCGACATCCAAATCACATGTGTGTGACGTTTGTGGTAATAGCTATCCACGTAAGAGTACGCTGGACACGCATATGCGACGACACAACAATGATCGCCCATATGAATGCGAGTGAGTTGACCTAAATGCAACCTTTTAGGCAAATGCTTTATTAAAAGCCTTCTTTATTTCTGGTTAGAGTCTGCAAAAAGTCTTTTCACGTAAACTACCAGCTAATGCGCCATATACGCCAGCACACAGGCGCTCGACCTTATAGCTGCGAATACTGTCAGCGAAGCTTCACGGATCGTACGTCTTTGGTCAAGCATGAACGGTAGGTGACAATGCTGGATATATTTATGTCATACAAAGATATACTTTGCTTCTAGCACCCATCGAAATGAACGACCCTATTCTTGCGACTTGTGTGGAAAATCTTTCACATATGCCAATGTGCTCAAAGTGCACTACAAAACGCATACCGGCGAGAAGCCACATCTGTGCAGACTATGTAACAAAAGCTTTGCACGCAATCACAATCTGGTCGCCCACTTACAGACACAACAGCATATCAACGATCCCCGTGCCGCGGCCTATTTACAAACACTCAAAGCCATCACCAATGTAGCTGCAGAAAATGGCTGAGAGGTGTTAAAAGTCTGCAATTAAAAAAAAAAAAAAAAAAAAAAAAAAAAAAAAAAAAAACTAGAAAAGCTGGATAGTCTTAGAAAGCGAAGATGAAAAGCCCCAAAATATTTCTCATTCAACTATTAATTGAAATAATTAGTATGAGTAGTCTATATTGCGACTCATTGGTTGTGAATATATTAGACTATACTAAATAAGTGCCCTCCTATTTGGAACATCGGAATAAGTTTGTTAGTCGTATTTAAATGATGTACATTTATATGATTTAATCTTCATTTATTTCAACCTATGTAACGCTCTCTGGTCTCTTTGTCAACCAAGAACGTTACAAGATTAGAACGTCTTACCTGTTGTACAAAAATGCCGAAAATATGTAATTCAAAAATGTGCACAAGAATCTAATTTGATTGGTGATTGTAAGTAGCTGACAGAGTGGAGTTAGGATTAGCGAACGGGGCATATATAAATTGCCTTCTTTAAAATATTAAATAACAAACTGGGTTGGGAATCGGATGATTTATAGCAGTTGGGAAGATAAACGAAGACTTTGCACAGCAAAGTCAGTTCTTTGTGAAACCTATTTGCCTATCATGCGTATTTTGTCTTTTAACAGATTGCGCAACTCGGTGATCATAAGTTCATGGGACTCTTTAAATGTGGCGGAAACATCTCCAATTAACGTGGCCTCCACTTCCGGTTTCAGTGACATATCGGCCATGAATGAGCTAAGTTCACGCGGAAGAGTAGGCGGTTTCCATATGCCTGCAGGAAATTGGTTTTCAGTTCGATATGTTATGTTGCAATGATGCATTCGTCTACTTACGTATGGCTGCATCACAGGCCTCCAATTTATGCTTCAATTGACGCATCAGCTCTTGGAGCATTTGACTACGCTCTTTTTCACTAATCGGCTCCTGTGTTTTGTTATCACCCGATGTTTTTTTTTTTGCTTTTGTCTTTGCACTGCATTGCAGCTTGTCATTCAGCACCGATAATAGGAAGGCATAAAGTGAAAGAATCTGCAAGTTTAGATTGGTCAAGCTATTTGAAAATAAATTAACGAATGTGCCTACCTCCAAGCTGGCCGCCACCTTTTGCTGATGCTCGCGACGCTTCCATAGGCCATCCATGCCGTTCCACTCATTGCTCTCCGTGATTGTCTGCACGCACAGCTCCATGACAGAAACAACATTCTCGCTAACCTTTTTGCACTGCAGTGCCAGTTGCGATGCGCCGCTGTACAAATCTAGCACCAGTTGCGCTAAGTCATCGAAGAAACTCTCATAAGGCAGCTTGAGCAGTAAATGAAGACGCGTTGGCAGCAAATTGACTAGAAAATTTTGCGATAGCGGCTTGTAGTTCATCAGCCGAAGACGCTGGAACAGGCCTGTCCATGACGTACGCAGTAGCTCCACTGTAGCTATGTCATCGCCCGACGTTGGAGTTCTCGGCTTATCATTTGACATGACCAGCTTTGCGCTTTGTGGTGCATGATAAAGGTCAATGAATGAGGCAAATAAGCGAAGAAGTAATGACCGAATTTGCAGCACCTCAATCTCCTGCTCATATGATTCCTTTCGTTCAGCTTCTGTATCATCTATATGCAAGGGATCCCAGCGAATAATAGCCTGAAGGTCTCGATTATCGCTTAACTCATTCCACGAAATACGATCGTCGGCGGGTTCTATGCTCATTGCTACATAGGCTGACAGATTTTGTTGAATGCTTCCATAAAAGCAAACTATATCGCACAGTTGCGCCTCCACCGAACAGGATACATACATTAAACTATTTGTCAGGCGTTCCTTAAAGTTCATAAATTCTTCCATCTTCGAGAATGTACAGAAGCGATAAGTTAACGAAATATATTCCAAACGCTCCTTATAGCTATTTGTGAAGAACTTCAATGTGGAATCGTAGCAATTTCGAACGCCCGAAAAGCGACCGGAAAGAGGCAAAAGATTACAGTGCACATAACCCATGGAGTCCAACTGAATTTGTTTGATGTCCAAATAGTCATACATTTCTTGAGCACCGACCATACACCCAAACATGTGATAGATTTTTAAGCTGAGCAGTTTCACGTGGAAGTTGCTAGTGCTGTTACGTAGCACATATTGCAGCAGACAAAGCGCCTCAAATAAATAATCCGATTTACTCTCTCGCTTTGACACATCGTACATTACATTTGCAGCAAGAAGTGCGTACGGATCCGAGGGTCCCATTTCCGTAGACAGCAGTTCCTTGCCAAACGTACTGTGCCCATGCTCATAGTGCAGCTTAAGTGCCGTATAAAAGGCAATCAAGTGATCTGTGGACAGCTCAATATGAGCGCCGCACATGCGAGAAACTTGCAGAGCACAAATATGCTTCTGCATGTGTTCCTTCTGCAAGCAAACATGAATGAATTAAATTGAATAAGAAAAATCTAATTATATACTAACGTTCTGCGGTAAGGAGCTTGAGCTAATGCCGCTTTCAGTGAGCAGTTTACTGGCTAGAGATTGTCGTTGATCCATGCTAATTGAGGGTAGAAACAGTGCTATATCGTGGGTGCAGCAAGATTTATCGCCAAATAGGTGAAAATACTCGATGACCATCTCGTCAAAGTCACCGATTAACTCCTCTGCAGGCAGCTGATGGGCACGCATGCGCTGATGCAGCTCTAGGCGCGCCAAATAAGGACCACGCGTCTTGCGCGTCGACGACTTTATTATGTGCAATAGAAAGTCATGACAACTTTTCAGCGAATATGCTGGCTCCTGCTGCTCCGCCGGTTGCTGCTTCAGCAGCTCGAAACAGCTTTGCAGATACTCCTTATAGTAATCCCAGCGATCACGACTAATGAAGATTTCATATATTATATATTAATAGACATCAAATGTCAATCAGCACTTACTCGGCATCGAGCAGCTCTTGCAGAAGCTTATTTAATTCCAGCCAATTACCCAGCTTCTTGAGCAGCTCAAATTTCATGCTAACGGGCGCACCAGGATATAATTTAGCACACAGTTCGCCGGTAAGAAACTCCCAGGCGTCCTGGTACTTGTTTTGCAACTTTAATATGTGTAAATAGAGGAATGCCTCCTGCTCCGTCTCCAGCTTGCCCTCCTTGATGTGCTTGTCAACCATCCGCTGCGCTAACGCCAGATAAAGGTTACGCTTCTCAGGTATGTTGGATTCGGGGCCACGGATGCCTTGGAATACCACGCTGATCACGGACCAAAAGTAATAGGCATTCTTTGGCTGTGCCTTGTATAGCTGAAGGGCAACAGCCTGCTGTGCCTTGTAATCCTCAACGCGCACATGAGATACAAATAAATGGGCCAACAGTTCCTCATTGCCTGGATTCAGTTTGACTGCGTGCTGATAGAGTTCAACTATTTTGTCCACTACAATATCAAGGTAATGTATTTTAATTAACTGACTTGATGGAATAGAAAAGCCTGGTAAATATACCATCAGCATAATAAAATGAAAAACTACTTTTTTAGCCGATAATGATTGACAGGTTTCTTCAAACGGACAGGTGGATGGTGCGCTTGTATGTTTTTATAGCACTATTTTACTCAACTGATGCGTTCAATGCACATATACATGCTAAAAAATCTGTTTGACTTTTTGGCACGCGCTACAGTCGCACTCTCTACCCGCCGTTTAGCTTACTACCCCGCCAGTACCTATACGGAGGAGCTAATTTCTGTGCAAATGAAAGCGAGTGCGCAGGCAATTTTAATTGCCCGACTTTGTGCGCGTGCCAAGAAATATACTTATAAATATGAAACTGTCGCCAACGTTCTATAGCTATGTGTCTCTATATCTGTCTTTTTTGTTGTATCACCCTCTATATCTTACGTTGTTCCATTTCACGATAGCAGAAGGAGAGCACCTGCAATGTGGAATCGTCCACGGGCTTTTCTTCGGCTACGGATTGCAGGCAGCTATGACTCTCTTCGTAGCGTCCCAGACGTAAAAGCGATAAGCCCTATACATATATAGAAAAATCAAGGATTTATGCATCACTTCAAGTGAAAATCTTTTTATTTCGCAATTGAGTTTACCTTGAGAGCACGTGCGCAAAGTAAATTTGGATGTTTGCGTAGCAGTTTTTCAGACTCCTGTAGAGCTTTGCGATTGTTACCCACTTCAAGATTGTCTATGAATTGACATAAAGTAAACTATATATAGTATATGTATGTTAACAGTGTATATACATTAATTAGACTTACCGTAGACCGGTCGCAGTCGACGTTCGAACAGCGCCGTATCCATGGCCTGCTGCTGGTGTGCCATGGTTGACTTGCAGGTGGCTCACTCTAACCAACGACACACGCGCCACACGTTGCTGATGCTTCTGCTGCTACTGCCACTCGTTGCCACCTTTAACCTAATTACAGCGGGCCTCAAGCAACACGCTTGCTTTGATTTTTTATCTTCCAAATGCCGCTTGAATTAAACCCGGTACGTTGTGTGTCCACTGTATTGGGCAGAATAAAACCCACTCTAATGGTTATTCTGACAGCAGGTTAAGGTATACAAAATACACACTATGAAACAATTGTACAAATTATTAACTATTAATTTTTGTTGAATAAAAAAACTTTGCTGCCTCTTCATAAATTCGGCACTAGAGGTGCATGAGAAGCGATACATTTATTGTTGTGAACTTTTTATCTTCGGACTATCGCCTATCGAAAACACATTGATCAGCTGCGACAAGTCAGCTGGGGATGACAATAAGATTACACCACTAACCAGAGATTACACCGTTGTTAAATCTTCCTCTTGTCTACCGTTGGCTTGAACTGGAGTTGTGTTTCATCGCCTGATTTTACTTTACGTGTATACCACTTGCGGACTCATCTTAATTGTATTCCATTTTGGTACATATATGCAAATAGAAATTGAAACTGAAAAAGAACTCGCGGCACAATTACGAAAAGTCGTTTAACAGCAACGTGAGCTTGTATTATATATGTAAACTATCGGAAAATCTATGGTATGAGCAATTTGAATCGATTGAAAAAATGACCATCGTAGTATTTTTGATTCTGTCATAAAAAGACTTTTTGCGAATTGCATCCATTCAAATAAATACAGATAATTCTTCTCGAAGCCAAATTACTATATTCCTCTCAAAAATTGCTGACCTTTATTAAAAATTCATCGCGAAATGGATCAACGATAACCGACTTTTCCCAGTCATGGTACTAGTGCGTTATCGGGAACTTTTATTTGTACCAGCGGGCGGAAATCCTCGTAAAAACTAATTGATAAAGGACACAAATCTGTCCAATTTTAACGAACTCTTGGAAATATATCGATATCAGCGTACTGGCACTTCACACGCACATCCCTAGTTGTTGCCCCCGTCAAAAAACACGCAGCGCAAAAATAAAATGCAATTTTTTAGTGCTGCCGCGTAGATTACGAAGCCGTTAAAAGTATTAAATTACACAATAAGTTGAATTATTTTCCGTGTTCATAATTTAGTGTAGTATTATCAAATTATTCTATTCGTCAGTCATTTGAATCGATAAAAATACTTTTGTTAAATTTATGTCCATTTTTGGTGAAGAATTTTGCCAAACGAAAATCAGCACAAAAGCAGCAAACGCAATGAAATGAAATTGAACTGGCTAAGGGAATACTTGGCCAACATTATAAACACTAGTCGAATATACGAGACTATTACACTCCCATTCGCTGAAGTACGCCTGGAACAGCTCTCCCCTCAAGCAATCTATTGCCGCATCAAGTCCACATCGGCCGAAGCACTGGAGCATATACTGATTGCATGTGCGGTATACTTTTTAGTATGCCTAGGTCTATACAAGTTGACCCTATGGCTGTCTGTGACAGGCGCAAAGAAGAAACAGCAGGAGCATCAAGTGCAACAGCACAATGGTACCGGAGACAACACAGCGAACGGGTTGCGAAACACCCTACAAAGAGGTCTACGATTACGTAGCGTTCATCTGCCCAATGCTGCGTTAATGGGCCGAGTACTTTTGGTCATCGCACACCCGGATGACGAATGCATGTTCTTTGGTCCGCTGATCTACTCGCTGACGCAGCGTGATGGCTGTCATGTGTACGTGTTATGCCTATCGAATGGTAAGCAATTAACAGTCACATCCCTTACTTGTAATAAAAGTTAATAAACGATGTTCAATATAGGTAACTACGAGCAAAAGGCGCAGTCGCGTCGAGAGGAGCTATTTCGGGCATGTAAACGTCTTGGCATTGCTGAATCGAATGTTATATTGGTGAATGCCACCAATTTGCCAGATGATCCGAATGTTGAATGGCGACCGGATGCGGTTGCCAGCTTTATATTGCATACCGTTGAGAGTCTTGATATAAAAGCGATATTCACCTTCGATCGCGATGGGGTCAGCTCGCATCCCAATCATTGTGCTGTTTATTATGCGGCCGCTTCTTTGTGTTTAGCCAATTTATTGCCTAAGGGTGAGTCACGGGTTGGCTGGCAGCGCCAGCAATAGAAACAAAACAGACTACAGACCGCATTGCACATGTTAATTGTCATGTTAATTGTAGCTGCGTTTGTTGATGTTGCTGTTTTTGTCAGCGTTACGTTTTCTAATTATAGTTGCGATAATTTTTAATAAATTCGTATGTATATATTTTTTATATGGGCCAAATATCAGCCTGTAAGTTTTATACTCTAGATTCGATCAATTTGGTACGCAAATATTTGTCCGTCTTCGATTTTCTATGCACATGCTTTATGTCCACGCATTGGTATGTATTGCGTTACGGTTTGCAATGAGGGATACTCTAATGAATCTTGTCTTACAGGTGTGTACTCAGCTGGAAAGAGGCATCAGTGGTCAGAGGCGCCATGATGGAACATCGGTCTCAAATGAAATGGTTCCGTTGGCTATATATCTACACTTCGCGCTACATGTACATCAATTCGATGCGCGAAATAAATCTCTCGGATGTCGAGCTGGAAATGCAAATTCATGATAACTAGAAATTGAGCCGGGTACAGCAAAATTGCGAATATTTTTTGCAAACAATTTTAATGAATGTAATGTGAAGAAATGAAAAAACACCAAAAGACAAACTACCTTCATAAATGAATGCTTGACCGCAGCGTCGAGATTAGTTACTTTTTTTAAACTGACGATTCTATACTATAATTATATATATATATATTTGTTATAACTTACTTTATAGCGTAAGCGTTTTGATCTAGCCAAATTCAACTGCTTTTTAATTTACACGCGCAAGTAGTTGAACAAGAAAAGTAACCAAAACCAAAAGGGAACAAGAATTACATGTTAACAGAGATTGAAACCAGATGCAATGCAGAATTATTCACACACACACACACATGCACTCGTACATACCTAAATACATATCTTTGCATATTGATTAGTTGTTAGCTCTAAAAAGAGAACAAACCTTATTTATACTCAATGCGAGCACATATGTTTCTGAAGCTTGCAGTATGATGCGCTAATGATTATGTTACGTTTATGTTATGTTTGATTCTTATGATTAATTTACGTTTTATATATTTGTTCGTGTGTACATTCGATTCCTTCCTTAGCATACAATTTAAATGCACGACTCAATATTTAGTTTTTGTGTATGTAAATTTGTAAAATAGTTTGTTGTAAGCAGCGAAGTACAATAATTTTTATACATGTATAAAATGACGAGCGAAGGTCGTTAAATAGTCTATAATGAGAGAGATTCATAGATGCTGAGAAACAAATAAAAATGTTAAAATGTGTATTTTGAAAACATGCATAAATTAAAAAACCATTGTTTCCAAGCAAATTCTATTTGAAAAATGATTATTTAAATTTTTTTATAAATTACAAAGCCTTCCTTTTATACAGCAAAGGATACTCGAACAAAAAAATTTATCTACTCAAATTTGATCTTTAATTGTGATATTTTAATTTTTTTTTGAACAGTCCCCCAATGTTAATCTCTTCTGTATTATTAACGATTATTTTCCGTAAGCCAATGTTTGACTCGTGTTGTGCACTCTTAAACGCTTCCTCTAACATGCTCCATGAGAAGGTTCTTGCAATGAATTTTTGCATCGGTGCGCGACCAGATTTAATTAGTTGTAGTGCCGTTGGGTACCTGTGTAGGCATCATATAGGACAAATTGTGTGGATCATTAATATATATGGATGTATATTGTGCGCTTACATATTGGCAGAACGAAAGCTTGGTATAAGTCGTATGTTTTTCATTAGTATGTCTAGAGCATTGAAGCTGGCACATTCTGACTCGCATTCTGTCAGGATGCATGCGCTGCATGGTTGTAATGCCATTACGGCCAGGTTCATGGTCATCGGCGAGATGGCGCAGTTGATGGCGCAGTTGGGCCACTCCTGGAATTTGCTATACACGTCCTCGAGCACCTCTCCGAATAGTGCGTTCGAGTCAAAATAGATGGTCTTAAAGCCAAAGTCACAGTCAATCATTTTCAGCGACGAGCGCATACTCCCAGCAATGGTTACCTTCCGAGCGCCAATCGCTCTGGCGCACAGTGCTGCCGCCACAGCCGTGGGGGTCGACCCAATGATTAGTATATTGCTTGTGGGCGATACTTGGGCTTTGAAACAGGCCTGACAGCCCATTGCCAAGGTTTGGGTCAGGGTGCCCTCCTCCAAGCTGGTGGAGTCTGGCAGACGATGGCAAAGGTCTGCTGGATGTGTTTGATGTGTGGCCAAGAAGCCGTTATACATTAGATCGGCACAGATGTTATACAAGCCGCGTTTGCAGTAATCACAAATTCCACAGGACAGGGCCGATTCTACGACAACACGATCACCCACATGCAAATGCTTGACACAGCTACCAACCTTCTCCACAAAGCCAGTGGCATCATGTCCCAAGGTCATTCCCTCCATACTCTTATTCGAATTCTCATAGACATGTATGTCTGAGCCAGTAAGCGCTACAGAGCCGATGTCAATGAGCACATCTATTGGACGGATTGACAGAGTGGCAGGTGAATTAGTGAGGCTGGTCCAACTTACCAAAAGGTCTGACATCCGGCTGCGGTTGGCGCTCTCTACTTATCTGATATGGTGCAGGTATGCGTATCACCTCCATTGTGCTCAAATCATCCTCACCGGGCTCCTCCTTTGTTATAGGAGCGTGTTGAGCCTGGCTGATGCATCGCTTTGTGGAAATCATACGCATTTGATTATGGAATACTTGGCCCGTGGCTAGAAGTTTATTTCTTTCTACCTTAGGACATAATTGAAGAGCAGTGTTAGTTATGGCGGATTTTAAATGTATATATTTAAGCATACGCACCTTTGCCCTTTTTGCCTTTGTTCTTTTTACCGACCATGCAAATGGCGGGGAGTTTCTTCTTCGGTTTTTTGGCCATTTTCGGCTTCGGTGGTTTCTGTCCCCTCTCACATTTCTTGCGCGGCATTTTGACCGTGTCACAAACACTAGTGCAGCGGTTTACAGGACATCCCTCCTCATTTGAATCATAGCAATCGGTGCGTAGACTCGTGCGCGCCTTAATATGCTTGCGATCCCTAGGCCCGCCTTTACCTTGGAGTGCATTACATTTGCCATCCTGACCCTTCTTTTTTTTGGATTTCTTACTATATCCACGCTGAATCTGATTTTGCGCACTCTTCGACGTAATACCCCAAGCAGTCATCTGCGCTGGCGAGGGCATTCCATCGTAATGGCGACGCACTAGGGTCGAGTACACTCGAAACCTGGCAGGTGTAATTGTAGAGCTGTTCGGCAATCTGCTTAGAGAGCAGCTGGAAAGTTTTGCTTGCCTTCTGAGGTAGCTGCGACGCACTCGGGTAGTATAGGTCTTAAAGCAGGGTCGTAGTTTCAATAAGAATTTGGAAGCGCTTCTCGTTGCAGCAGTTTTTTGGCTATTCAATTGGAGTGATGATAAGAAGCGTTTGGGATTGCGGGTGAAGTGGAAATGTGAGTTATTGGGATGATAGAATTTGGAAACGGGACTACTGAACGTTGAGTACTTCTTTTTGCAGGGATCTTTCTTATCCTTTCCATCGCCTTTGCCTCCGCTACCTTTCTTGAATTTGGCGCAAGGGTCCTTTTTGTCGCCTTTACCTCCCTTTTTATCACCGCACTTTTTATCACCGCCCTTTTTATCACCGCCCTTTTTATCACCGCCCTTTTTACAAGGATCCTTTTTCTTATCACCACCCTTGGCGTTCTTCTTGAATACGGCGCAAGGATCTTTTTTATCCTTGTCACCCGCTCCTCCCTTCTTGGCGCAAGCATCTTTCTTCTTGTCGCCACCTGCTCCTCCTTTCTTGGCGCAAGGATCTTTCTTCTTGTCGCCACCTGCTCCTCCCTTCTTGGCGCAAGGATCTTTCTTCTTGTCACCGCCCGCTGCTCCTTTCTTGGCGCAAGGATCTTTTTTATCCTTTCCGCCTGCTCCTCCCTTCTTATCGCCTCCTTTGGCACCTTTCTTGAATTTAGCGCAAGGGTCCTTTTTATCGCCGGCCCCTCCTTTTCCGTCCTTTTTGCCACTGCATCCCTTCTTATCATCTTTACCTCCCTTTTTGTCACCACCTTTTCCTCCCTTTTTGAACTTAGCGCAGGGATCTTTTTTTTTTTCGTCCTTACCTCCTTTACCAGCACCTTTCTTGCCACATTGATCCTTTTTGCCAGCACTAGCTGTGATTTCAGTCGTGCTCTCTGCCTTCTTTTCTGGCTTCTTTGGCTGCGGACGCTTGCATTTGTCATCCTTGCAGGGATCATCGAGCAGCGGGCATTTCTTAGGGCATTTCTTTTTTTTCTTTATAATGGGATGCTTGCAGCCATCCTTTAATTGTGGACTAGCGACCGCTGCTTGATCTTCAATGATGGGCTGCGCCACAGCACTCATTGTTGGCACACTATGTTGTTGCTTCATGCGTTTCATCTCCTGGCTACGTTTCAATGCCTTGCGACCAGCATGGGTCGCTATCTGGCCTCCAGCATGCATGGGTGCAACTATCTCCGTGGACTCGTCTGTACTTACAGGCAAGTCGGCATACTGGATCATCCTCGACGGCATCTGCTGCTGCTGCTGTTGTAGTTGTTCTTGTTGATCTAGTGACTGTGGTTGCTCTAGTTGATCTGCCGGCTGTGTTTGCTCTTGCTGATCTAGTGGCTGTTGTTGTTCCTCTTGCTGTTCGACAGCAAGTCCTGCTTCAGATGCAAATCCACGCTGTAGTGCCGTGCTGCAGATGCTTGCGGCAATTGAGGTAACCGTATCATTATATTCCGGCAATTGCTCATCGCTCAAATGGCTTGGATCCAGTTTATCGGCATCGATCTGAACCATGCCCTTGATCAAAGCATTGAACCGCAGGGGCACTGTATTTAGCGGTGCATTCTCGGGATCGGCCTCTACCTTGGTTTCCAGAAAAACCATGGCATCCCTGCCTAGTGTGGGCTCAGGCTTGTGGGCCAGTTCTTCGTTTAGTATGGCATCGCGCACATTTGTCATATCCATTTCAAAGGACAAATGCATCGAAGCAATGGCCATATCATTCAATCGCTGACCCAATGCATCCGGCACTTCGATACTTATTTGATCCACATGGGGATCATCGCTAATCATCTCTTCTGAATCGGCACTAATTTGCAGCTCCTTCGGATCACCGAGGGGCATCGTCTGTGGCAGTGTCTGAGGTGGCGAGCCAGGCTTGGTGTTTGGTGATGCTGGCGTTTGGTTTGGTGCTGATGGGACGGACGGCTTGTACGGCGCAGGTGTCATTGGCGCAATATCTGCCTCGGGCGAAGCTGCCGCACAGGTTGCTGCATTATCTGCTTTGGCGATCGGCGTCACATCGACTGCTTCGTATGCTAGCTGCCTGAGTTCAGCTGCCTGCGTCGAGGCCTCGTCCGCCGGTGTGTTTCTTGTGGTTTTTCCCATATTTTGAAAATCGCTGGCTTTGCATGTAGCCTTCCGAGTATCAGTTGCTTTGATGGCAACAGCATTGGCTGAATCTTCGCTGAATCCACTATCGACACCCTCCACATATCCCTCAAAGTAGCTAACCTTGCGTTTATCTTCCGCTGGCTCCTCGATGGCTGTTGGTGTCTCATTGGCAGACAGTGCCGCCTCATCCTTGTTAAGGTCCTCGATCATGGTGTTGGTGAAAGCGTCTATCTCGCTGGCATGCATGCGAAGTTGATTGAGTGCCTCGAGCGTATTGCGCAGACTTTCGATATCCTGATTGGCCAAGTCTAGCGGCACAATAACGATCTTCAACTGCTTGCCCTCCTTGGATTCGGGCATTATGATGCCGACTGGCACCACATTGGGCGCCGTCGCCTCGGCGACCTCGCTGCTCTCGGATGGCGTTCCACTGAAACTAATACGCTTGCGTAGCATATCGACATTCGTGTGGGGGGTAAAGACACTCGATGAACGCTGCGAATACAGCTGAACGTGTATCATACTGGGTAGTGATGGCAGCATTTCAATTAACTGTGACGGTGTTGGATGCCAACAGACGCACTTTGAGCAGATCTTTTTCCATTGCTTGCAACTACCATGGAGCAGTCGGTGCGGTCGACAGATCGGCGCATGATAGCTTAAACATCGGGAGATCTGTGAAAGATATGTCGCCATACGTGTAAAATATATGCTTTTTCGATACTTTTTTTTTTTCACCGACTAATTTAGAATTTTGTTAACTCAATAAATGGGGGTGCTACACGTTTAATTTTGATCAAGAAAAATTCACGATAAAAACGAAAAAAAAGTAATGTTTATCAGTTGACGTATAGAAGCTGACTGGAGAATCGCTCCAATTTATATGCCTAGCTCAAAATAAAATTCCAAAGCCTACTACGATGGGCATTTTGAGGAATACATATAAATACAAAAAACAAAAAAAAAAAAAAAAAAAATTGAAAACTGTATAAAATATATTCATACCAATGATCTTATTGATCTTTACGGATATATTATATATAAATATCTCCCTATATATAATTTATATAAATCAGCTTACATATTGAGATATATATATAATCTTAAGGTAGATATGTAGATATTTATATATGTATATTGATTTTAATTTTGTCATCTGCTGAAAATCAAAGGAACTATTTTTATATTATAAAGAAGAACAAAGACGAAGTTTAAATAGCTAATTCAGCTTTCGTATCAGCTTCTAGTGATAATCAATTTTCTTCTTCGACATTGTAGTATGTAAGGTTAATTCGTCTCCTAGGTACTCCTCTGAGTTTTGCCAATATAAATATTATTATATTATTTACTTACATGTAGTAAATGTGTCATTTTGCCGAAGATGCGCATTCTTCGGATAAACTATCTGAGAAATTATATCTGACGGACGAAACGAACAATATTGCATGCGATTGATGTGCAAATTGTTTTAAACATTTACCAACACTGGCGAAAGCTGTAAAGCCTTGAAATTATTATGTATAATCTATGTGATCAAAACATTACAGAAAAAAATTTAGAATTTCGAGAATAGTTTGTGTATATTATTTTATTGAAAAAAAAAAAAAAATGATTTTTGATGTTTTCTCGAAGAGATGTATGTGAAGAATAAATATACAACTATACAAATTATTTAACAATTTCTTTTAACCAATCCAAAATACGCCCACTACGATGTGAAGCAGTCCGAAATTTATTAAACTATATTATTGAGAGTAGAATATGAACAACGAATATATAGGCACAGAGGAGAGGGACGGGGGCGAATCAGAGAGAAGGCGAGAGACAGCTTAAAACAGTTCTCGATTTTGATGGAATTAGCTATGCAGCTCTTTAAAACATATTAAATTCAATTTTAGGTACAACAATTGTTGGCACACTTCTTGCATATTAATTAATCGTTTATTGGCTACCTTCAGATTTATTTATTTTTACTTATGGGCCGCCTCAAACGGGCCCACTTCAGTCAATCAGTCAGTCAGTGCTCAGTTGTCGTTGTAAGCACTTCGCTGGTGTTTCCAATTGCATTCCGATTTATATAGCGATAGAGTATATAACATTGACAATGTCGCGGTTGTCCAGCTGCACATATAGTAGCATATGCTTACTGGTTGCTCTGCATGTAAGCGCGTGACAAATGTAAAAAAAAAACCTACAAAATATTATTTAATTGTGAAATTTGTTCATATATATATATTTATATGTACTACTTTGTGATATATAAAATTGGTCAAGTGCAGGCTTTGACATTCACCGAAGTATTATTTTATTTTTTATTATATTAATTCATATATTTTTTCGCACATTGTCCCTGAAATTTCTAAATATGTTAGAATTCTCAAAGAAATCGAAATATTGGCTTGCTGTAAATTTTGGAAACTTTAAAAATAGTGAAGCAAAACCAATTGACTTATTTAAGCTCATGAATGAATATAAATAGCCAACTTCATAGTTCAGAACGGATAGATTATATTTGTGAAATATGAAAGCTTCTATATAAATTTGATAAAAAAAAATGTATTAACATATTTACAGTTTTTTGTATGTACATATTTATATGGTACAATGTATGTATAATAAAATTTAAATGATGTCAACAGCACATAGGGGATCAGAGTTTTGCACACAGTCAGCGATAGGACTAGGTCATTTGATTTTAGTGGCTTAAGAATATATGTAATACATACAATACATATTAGGTTCCACCTGTAAGAGAAAATATAGCAAAATTATTATATATATCCTAATCAAATCAACTAGAATACTGAAACATATTTCAAAGAAGGTTTACTTACAATATTACAGATTTTCAAATAAATCTTTAAGAGATTTTCAATAAAAGTTACATAGAATATTAAAGCACTTTAATTGCCAACTTCCTTTGTAGCCGATTCCTGCGTATACTTAATTTTTTGTCTATTTCTACGTATACGTAATATTTGTTTTTGCACCAAACCCATATTTGGAGCTCTTTAGCTATCACTTTTGAAGACCTTGAATATATTTTCTAGGGCATAATGGAATCATTTGAATGTTCCTAAGCAAAGCAAAGCCATTAAATTAAGGCGCGTCGCGTGTGCCCAAATGCGAATGTTCTCGCATTTGGAATGGCTAATTAGAATTCAGAAAAGGAAACAAAAATATGCTCATGGCTCCGTAATTAAGCAGCCAATATTAATAGCTTTTCATTCAATTTCTATGCAGTTCGTGTGGCTGCTGACGGCGACGGCGAAGCCAGCGTCCAGCAGCAGCAGCAGCAGCAGCTTGCCCTCACTTGCGCCTTCAGGTGACGCCACCACGCCCACAACAAGCACAGGTAACAAGCATATTGTGAGCTTTGTGAACTCCAAGCGCGGCCCAGCTCCCCATGCAGAATTTGATTTTGAGCGTAACGAGGCGGAGGCCATCAACTCGGTTCATGTGCAGCAGCTCTTCGGCAGCCTGCTGCAGTTGCAAGGACCTAGCAACAATAGCCTGGATACGGACGATGCGCCGGACAGCGAGCGCAATACCCTGGACGATGAACTGACCCTGATGGAGTCGGTCGGTGAGCAGCACGAAAGCTCCACAGAGCAGCCAGACGCGTGGCATCGCATCAAGCTGGCCATACCAGTGCTGGAGCCGGTCAAGCACTTGGTGAACACAGTGGGCGGCGGCGGGGTGAACAACACGCACGTGATCAACAACACGCATCGGCTGATCGGGCACAGTGGAGTACATCATTCACCGCATCCGCACAGTAACAACACCTCGCCGGCCATCGAGACGGAGGAGGATCGGGAGGAGGCCATCGATAGCACGGGCTTCGATTTGCTCGAAACGCTGGGCACAGCGGGCACCGTGCTCTGGGGCATGCTGCAGAATCTGCGAAGACTTTTTGCGGCCAGTGCCGGCAACGCCAGCACTGCCTTCTCAGGTGGTGCAGGCGGTGGCGGTGGTGGTGGTGGTGCAGCTACTGCGAACTAATTGCAACGGGTGTGGTGTACTGTGATTAATCTAGGTGCTTACCGTGGGGCATTTTCAATGTTTAATACTAATGAAATATACGACAGTTAAATTATGCATCATAAATCAAATAAAGTCATTCACAACAAACGCACGCTCAATCACAATTCAACATGGCCAGCTGTCGACCGAACTCGGGCAGCCTCTGCTGGCGCCAACGCATATTCACTTTCACCTGCTCCAAAACGCGCAGCAGGCTGCGCGATGAGCTCTGCTGCAGCACCACCTGGTGGCTATTGATGAACGTCCTCAGCAGTTGGTAGTCCTCCTGGGAGCTGCTGTGCTGGGCAATCAGGCTGAGCAATCCAACCAATTCACGCGTATTCAAATGATAGCTTCAAAGAGAGAGAGAGAGAGAGGATGTCAGAGAGGGCTTGGGAGGGGGACGACAAAGAGACTTGAAGGGAAGGAAGAAAGAGAATTGAAGGGAAGGGAGAAAGGGAGATAGATAGAGAGAGTGCGGAGCAGAGAGAGTGAGAGTGAAAGAGAGAGAGAGAGAGTGGCAAACAGTGTGAGAGGACGAGAGAGAAATAAAGAGAGTGTATGAGTAAAAGAGGGGAAAAGAGACAGACAGACAGAGAGAAAGAGAGAGAGAGAAGCAGAAGGAATGTGAGATTGATACTAAGGGAATGTGAGATGTGAATCGTTTATATTTAACTTAACGAATTCTGATTTGGTGGCAAATTCGTAGCACTTACTACTTGCGCAGCAGCTGGAACTTCTTGAAATAGAAATCCCTAGCTACGTCGAAGCCCACCTCGGTGTGCACCATGGCACCGAAAATGAGCGAGGCATCCTGTTTGCGTATGAAGGACTGCTCATGGTAGATGATCCGCAGATAGCGCTCCAGCAGACCCTCTTTGTGCGAGCAGGTCAGGGCTAGCAGAATCACACGCTGCTCGCTGGCCAGCGAACTGTTGCGATATCTGTGCCATAGGAAGGTCCAGTCCTCCCCATCGCCATGCCGCATGGCGGTGCAGTAGACCACGGAGCGCAGATTGACGGGCACGGGATTAGTGCTGTCCGGCTCACTGCAGATGAGCCAACGATTATAATACTTGAGGGCGCGCTCTACACAATCCTTCAGAGATAGGCGACACGCCCACTTGGTAATCAAAGCCTTATGGGACACATGATGGTCCTTATTTCGATCGTTCCGCATGCCTTTCAGCTGGCAGTAAATGGGCGCCAGCAGATGATGCATAAAGTGCTAGAGATGCGTTTTGTTAGTGTTGGAGATGAGCAGAGTGAAGGGATTCGGACCCACCTGAAACTCCTCGAATACTTCTGTGTAACGAATGATGCGATAGATCGCATTGATTTGATCAAGTGCTGCACGCCAGGGCATAAACTCGTGCTCCTGCTTCACATAGGTCAACAGCTCCAGGGTCAGTTCATAGGACATCAGGCCACTCCAGGCTAGAGCCAGTGCATCATCCAATAGCTGGGCCCGATTCATCACGTGGATGCGATGGTATTCGCTGCTGTGCAGCGCCTTGCTGATCAGTTCCCAGTTGTCGCTGTCGTAGTTGATGCGATAGGGCGTCGACACCTGGACATTGAGAATCAGCCATTCATCGTCGCCAGGCAGATGTCGCAGTTGAACCGGCACGGGTTCGTTTTGTGCTGAGCAGCGCAGCCAGGTCTGCGGCTCGGTGGCCATGAAATTGGAGGAGCACTGGGTGGCATAGCTAATTGGCACAAACCAGCACGCATTCTCAGCCACAGACTGCTCCGGTCGTATATACGCGTGATCCTCGTGAAGGAGCAGAAATCGTTGCTGCGTAACTATAGCCGTGTTCTTGAGATACTGTCGCTTCACCTGGATCAAGGGTATGCCTTTTTGCAAAGTCCACGTATTCATCACAGTCTGCACCTGCAGATCAAGCGGTATGCTGCCACATTCATGGGCCGCCTCAGTCAGCGCCAGCCACAAGTCCTCCTGCCTGGCATTGGCATAGGCGTGCTTCTGTAAATAGCAGTGGAGACCCTTGCGAAAGGCCACATCCCCAATGAACATGTGCATCATTCGTATGACGACTGCACCCTTGCGATAGGTAATCGCATCGAAGAGCTCCGATATCTGGCTGGCCCGACTGACTTCTTGATGGATGGGCCGGGTGTTGCAGTATGCGTCCGTATTGAGTACGGCCAGCACATTGTCCAGCATGTCCTCATCGTAAGCGTGCCACTGGCAGCACAGTTTGTCTATTCCCAGCGTGGCCATGTACGTGGCGAATCCCTCGTTAAGCCAAAGATCATTCCACCATTCCATGGTGACCAGATTGCCAAACCACTGATGGGCCACCTCATGGGCAATGATATTGGCTATATGCTGCTTGTCCATCTGTGAGGTGGCGTCCTCGGCGTAGAACAGTGCCGCCTCTCGGTACGTGATTAGACCCCAGTTTTCCATGGCGCCAGCACTGAAGTCCGGCACAGCCAGCTGATCCATTTTGGGCAGCGGATAGTCGATGCCAAACATCTCCTCAAATTTGCACAGAATCCTCGGCCCCACCTCTGATGCATAGTGGCATTGTTCAATGGTCGTGGCACGCGCCCACGTTGTGAAGTGAACGCGACTCTTGTGATTCTTGGAGACGTAACTCTCGAAGTTGTTGACGCTGTAGGCCACCAGGTACGTGGACATGACCTCCGTTTGCCTGAATGTGCTCCACAGCCAATTCTGGCGTTCGCATCTGCAAATCTTAGAAGAGAGCACATTACACTGGCTCCACATTCTCCCTATACTTACATGGGTATTCGCTCCAATAGAGGCATATTGCTGAGCGCATTGTATTTGGCATGGTGGCCCAGGGTTATGTTGAAGGTGGCCTTGAAGTTGGGCTCATCGAAGCAGGGAAAGGCATTTCGTGCATCCGCCGGCTCAAACTGCGTCACAGACATGTACCTGAAAAGATTGGATAACTGCATTGAAGAAACATTTGCTATGATGTCACAAACTGTTTGCAGCAGCTGTCTGCATTGTCCTGATACGAGCTAACGTAGTAGCCAGCCATGCTCTGTCCTAATCTTGACCAGAAGCGCAGCCGCAGTGTATAGCGTTGGCCACGCTGTAAATATTGCCCGAAATGCAATATTATGAAATTATATATCGGCTGACGTTGCATACTTTTGATCTCAATCAGCTCGTTGCAATGGTATTTGAAAAGTTGTACGCCTGTGTTGCATTCAGCAATATTTAAGCCGGCTCCGGCGTGCAGCGTGATATTGTTGGTGGATTGGATAATTCGGAGCAGTATTTCAACATCGCCCGTGAAGATGAGGCGTTTGGGATTCTCCAGGTGTGTCATGATACGCAGGTTGTAGTGTTGTGGTTTGATGGAGCGTGGTAGGCGATAATAATCGTAGCTGGCGTTGCAAAAAGTTGCAAGGACAGCGCTCAACAGCATTAAAATACGCATTTCAAATTTGGCGGGAAATGAATTATTTTTCGACTTAAAACGCACAGTGTTGACGCTGCCAGATAGGCAAAGTGAGCTACAGCTGTTAGTCCGAATGTTATCGATAGCTAAAAAGTACTGACAGTAGGTTTTAATAGCAGGACGCTGTTATTTAACATAACAGCTGCATGAGTGGAACAGATTGGCAGCCCTATAGCACGCATATTTGTTTTCCTTTTGGTTAGTATATTCGCCGCTGCTGCTGAAAATGGACGTATCGGTTAGATCCGCGCGTGTTATGCTAAAATATTAAAACATTTTGCGTGTAATTGTTAAAAAATAAAACAAATACCTTTAGAGTTGAGTAATTGAAGTGTTTTGTGTCTCTATGAAAATATTTTTGTGCTGATAATGCGCGAGTGATTGTTGTGTTTCGCGTTTTGTTCAAGGCGAATGCACGACACAAAGCAAACGATGTGGTAAATGAGCGTACAAGCGGTGAGAATGTAAAAAACACAAATGTAAATAAATAAACCAAAGCTGATTATTAAATTGTTAATACTTAATAAAGTGTTGACTGCGACGGGCAAAAGTAAGTGCACTTCAATGTGATTTAAACCTTGCGACAAAGTGGAATGAATTATTTTGTTGCAGCATATAAAATGTGAACAGCTGTTTTTTCAGTCTCTGCTTTGACTGCTTGTTCTGTTTTTGTTTTGTGCTCTGCGTGCATGCCGTGGCAATGTTTATAAGTTAATTGTTCATTTTATCTTATTTGTTTATTTTGGTTCACGCGCTGCAATGAGCACAGCGTGTGGCCACTTATGACATCAGTCTCAGTTAGATGTATGTAATTTAAATCTTGCTAATTTCTTAGTTAACCAAATGGGCACGTGTAACATTAACACCTTAGCCCACTGTGCAAATGGCAATCATTAGCATAACTCAAATAGAGCAAACGCATGTGTGGCCAATAAGAATGTGGTTAATTTGTCATGTAAATGTTATTGCTTGTATGTTTCGCTAGTTTTTGCAATTACGGGCTTATAGGAATGTGGTAAATTTGTAATGCTCAATGCCTAAGATAGGAGTTTTAAAACTATCCTATGGAGCGTGGTCAGCATGCAACGCGAATATTGCCGGTTCTCTTTGCAATTTACAGTTAGCACTATGCCGCCAACTTATTTTATTTACTTGCTGTTTATTGGCACAACTGCAGAGCCAACAATTCGTAAACATCTGCACACACACATGCACGCACATGCACACACACACATTTACTGATAGATTTTACATTTGGCGGAAATTGAGAGCAGCCCACTGTAGATGATGTCGCCTGGGCGGCAAACAGACTGGCTCTGCTTCCATCTATATTTAGTGTGCCAATTTCGTTGTTGTATACATGATTATTATTTTGTTGTTGTTTGATTTACGCTTATTATCTGTGCCCACACTTCGCATACACATTCTTAGTTTGATTTGTTTATGGAAAGGCGTTTATTTTGTCTGCGCATTTGGTTTATGTTAAACTGTAAAGTGTTGCCGGCTTTTCCATTAGACACTTGCTACTTGTTTGTCTTCCTCTGTTTTCACTCGTGCTTTTTATACAAATTTTAAATTAAATTACCAATGAAAATGCTGTAAAATTGCATTGACATAATTATTTAAAAGGCTTTTACCTTGCCGGTTACGGTATGACACCAATTCGAAACAATAAGTGGGAAAGAGACGAGAATACAGAGCAACCAGCGCAATAACTAAATATGAACTTAAATAGCTAGATTTAATTAACAAGCCTTTTTTTTTTATATATCATATAATTAAATGATAAAATAATGTATTTTCACAGATATGTGAAATAATAAAAAAATATACTTTTAATTAAAAAGCTTTAAAAAAATTTAAGGCTTCGTAAAAGTCAATTTTTTTATGATTTTATTTTATCATATAGCTGGCTAATTGCCCTGCATTTCTACTGAAATAGAAAAATTTAATCTATTTAGAATTCATTCATATTCGTTGCTCGCAATGCATAAATGAAATCAATGTTTAATTTAAGTAATAAAACTGGAAATGTAATCATTTTTGTATTGCTGTTCAGCTTTGCTAAATCAGTTCACTTTTGCTACAGATTTTTAAATTAACCCGTAAGACTTGTTTATTTAATTGATTAGTTTGCTTTTGTTGTTGCTAATGGAGGCATAAGACTCGAATACAGATAAGGCTAGACAAATTGTTGTGTACAACGTGTCTAATCAAAGCCGGTCATTAATAAGTAAACAAAAAAACAAAATCTAGCGAATACTAAAAGAAATCGGTTTAAGAAGCGGTATAAATATTTCTATTTTTAATATGTATATTTTTTATTATATTTGCAGCTAAACACACACGGTTATTATCTATTTTCCTATTGACCTCTGCATATGTGCCGCCAAATGTGACCGGTAGGTGGCGCGGCGTCTTATCAGACAATGACTGGGCGGCATTGTTTGGCCTACTCACGTGAATGTTGTACGGGTATTAGAGGTGCTGTAGATTACACGATCAATTGACGTGAGCCTATGGAACATGCCCGTGGATATGCATAAGAACGTTTCCGTACAAGTTGACAGTGATTTTGCTTTATTGCTTCCCAGCGGAGTTTATGAGATTAAGAAGATGGAACCACGCTCCAAAATACGAACAATTATTCTGTTTTGCCTATTCTTAGCCATAGCGGGCATCATCGGCTTCGGCTACTTCTGTCAAGATCAGGTAAGTTTATCGATCGTTTATCGATCTATTACCAAATTGCTCTGACGCAAACGCCATAAATTTTCAAATTTGTTGTTATTCTTGCTTTGCTCTTGTCTCTCCACTTGGCGCCAATGCAAATCAGTTAGCAACTGTTAAATTCGTAATTTATATTGATGTTTGCATTTAATTAAACTCATTTTTTGTGTATGCCATAATTAATTCTTGGAATTTACGTGGTGTGTCGCCAAAAAGAAAAAAAACGAAAAGAAACAAATGTTAGAAGAGAACTTGTTTTTGGCTAAAGTCAAGAATTTATTAGCCTCCGTGTTTCTCAAGCGGATTACACATATCGAAATGTGATTCTCGTATTTTTATTTTTATACGAAAGAACAATTTGTTTATATGAATTTTTTGTTGTTAATTTTTGTTTTGCTTTGCTCGAAGATTTTTTGGGCGCCATAAACTTTCAATTGTTTGGAATATACAGAAGAGCTTTACTAAAAAGGTGCCAGAATACAGACCAAATACAGTGAAAGTTCTGTGAATGCTCATATTCATACATTCTTATATGAAACATTAAGATTTCATAAAACTTTCAATATAGTTCCATTAAAATGTAAATTGAGTTTGACTTTGGCACATTACTCAATCAAAAATAATCTACTAATGAACTGTTGACATGACAGCTCTTTATGATAGCTTTAAATATGTCAAAATCACTGAAAATGTGAAGCCTATAAGATGGGGAGGCTGCGGTGCAGAGTGCACTGGGTCTTGGCAGACAAGTATATAAAAAGATTCAAACATTTTTGACGGCCACCGAAACGCATAAATTCTAAACTCAGCGGGCCATCATTCGCATTACAGCTACACAAATATATATACACATACATATATATAAATATATGTGTATATACATATATTATCAATTGATCGTCGTGCCAGGTCATCTCCAATATTAGCGTCTATAAATTCATTAGACGAGCTCATAAATTTCGTAATGCCCGCCAGTTTTATGCACTTTTCTGACGCACATGCGATATTAAATTTAAAAAAAATATCTTTTGTTATACGACTTTAATATATTCTCTCCAGTTGAGGCTTAATATTCTTCATAAATTAATTAAAATGATAAAATGTATATATATATAATCTTCCCTTAGGAAACTTGGATATACTTTAACAAATAATTTTGAAAAAGTAACTTGTTTCGCAAAAATTAAGAAAATTAATCCCATAATTACTCAACAATTGATATAAATTGATAAATTGCTATATATCGATTTGTTGTTTGTATTTTGGTTATCAGCTTAATGATTTTTTTTTATCAAGACATTTTGAGCTTGTTTATAACTTATGCGTTTAATAATCATTTATGAAAATAATTATTAGCTATACAGCTTTTTAACTATTCATAATGAAACTAAGCAAAGTAAGGATATTCCCCTCTTGACATAATCTTTGCAAACTTAATTCGCACCATAAACCCAAAATATTTGTGTTATATAATTACAAAAGTCACGAATGTCTGAATATATATGCCAGCATATATAAACGTATATATAGATATGTATATCCATGTATATTTAGCTTTTTTGGGCGCGTGCGCTTCTTTATGGAAAATAAGTTCACAGTCAACGCCAAAAAAAAAGTGAATTTATATCAATTGGCCAAAAATTCTCAATGCCTATCAACGAAATCTATTTTGGTTGCACGTCTTGCAACAACATTGTGTACGAAGTTGGTCTATATTTATTTCATTTAGCTAATTTGCAGTCATGTTTTGTACGCCTACACCATGATGTGCGTACAGTGAAGTCTCGCGGGAGCGAACAGCTCTCTTAAAATTACACTTTCTTATCTTCAGTTAAGCTATAAATAGTGCTAAGGAATATTCCAGTTGACCAATTAATGCGGTTATCTATTTGAAGCAAACTGTGCATTAGCGGGTGCTTCACTGTACTCGTGTATGTTCATAGGCAGCACTCATAGCAAATTGAAATGGTGAGCAAAGTGACATTAATTGGGCACAGCTGCCAGTTGGGGCAACACGCGATCTTGAATGCTTCGTCGTGGTGGTTCTCGTTCCTCTTCTTCTTGTTCTGTCCTCTCTAGCGAGACAACATGGCAGACACGAGCCACGCCCAGCCGGGGCATACTTATATGTATACATATATATATAAATGTATTATTATTTTTTTTTTTTTTTTCAAAAATAGCTTAATTAGCGACGCGTTACGACAAATGAAAAGTGTAGCAAAATAAATTAAAGTCGTGCAACGCGTGGGTGCATTGCGTGTCCAAATTTCATTTTTGTTGAAATGCATTTGCTCTCAAATGCAGATTTATTTGGGGGTAGAAGAAATAAAAATGTGTTTAGAGCAAGGCCCATTTAAGATTGCCGATGATTAACACTAGATATATATGTATATCACAAATGAATGCTCTATTTATGAATACTTGACGCTGAATGTCAATTTGAAAATGTGTCAGCTGTCTATATGATTTGAAATGGGGCAAGTGTAATATTTGAAATATGTACTGTATGTACAAACATCTCTATATACTTTGAGTTTTTGCGTGACGTTGCTGTAAATTATGTTTTTTAATGTGTCGAATTCTCGAAGGGCCAAACTGTGCCAGTTTGTTATCTTGCTTTAACATTTATATACCCTGGACCTCTATTGAAAATGGGATTTTAGAGTATATTGTTTATGTGCAAATTTATGTATGAAGCGGAGTTTATCCGTCCATGTGAACGAAACAATCTTGTTTATCGTAATCATTTTGATTTACCCCATTTTAATTTCAATTGGGTTTTCACTGTAACTCAAGTACCGTCATAGACTTAAATATTTCCGAGTGCGACAATGCTTGATATATACGCAACTTCTTAAGTGAATCTGCTAGTCGTTGAAGCTGTTGATATTATATTTTTTATCAATCTCTGTCCCAATGGGAAGGCAAATTTTAAGGCAATTTAAATTTTATAAATAGTTTTTAATACTTGTTTATATTATTCCAACTAAAATATTTTTTATCCATCTACATATATTTATTTATTTATTTTCTAATACCTGTATATATTATTCCAACTAAAATATTTTGTATACATCTACATATATATTATTTATTTACATGTTTGCATTTATGCAATTGGAATATTCTGCACTCGAGCTGTTAGCATTTGTTTGGCTTTCAATTTCTATTTGCTTAGTATTTTCCACCTACGAACGGCTACTCGAAATCGAGATGCCTCAAATTCAGTTCTATGTAGCGCAGCGAAAATGTGTTAAAAACTTATCGGAAACACAAAAGCAACAAACAAAATTGAACACTCTTACTCTGAATATTCATTAGGTATGTGCCACAACTTTGGACGGCTTCTTTATATTCACATCGATTTCCATTTATTCAAATTTCCACGACGGTAAACTTCAGCCGGCCAACGTGTTGTATATTTCTATTTATATTGTTTATTATTATTGCCTTGGTAAAAAAAATCACATTCATTAAATGCGAGCGTTTGTTGTTGTTGTTGTTAATGTTGCTTGTGTTAATTTTTGACGTTTTTTTGAGTTGTTTTCATTGTAAATGGGGGAGTGGCGCGTTGTAATTATCCCAAGCTACAAAAAATGAATTACAATTCTGAAGCCTCCAATTGGGTTTCCGCTCATTTTAATTTGGGCACGTGTTTTTTTTTTTTTTTTAATATAATTGAATTTATTTACTACTGGAACTTTGAGCTGTGTCTGCTCCGTATTAATTATGAGCAAAAGTTTTCGTAATTGTTGACCCAATGTTAAACTATGAGTATTTATGAGTTTGTTTTTAGTACATCGGCTGGCTGGCTCATAAAATGTTGAAGTATTTCTTTTCTCCCTTTGAAATATGTATGCGTGAGCATGAGTCCATAAAGATAATGCTTTGTTTTTCGCCTCTCTAGTTTTCCGGCCACAAATAAAGTTTTTCTCTTTATTGTTTTAACATACTTGCGCATACAGCAAAGTTCAACTCTCTCGCTCGCCCTCCCCTTAGTCTTTTTCGGTTTTTGTGGTTTCAATATTTACTACAAATTTATTGCTGTATTAGGAAACTGCAAACACTTGTCCTGTACGGTCTTAAAAAAAAAACACGCAACCGGATTTGATTGGTCGTAAAAATCAAAACTTCTCATTTCAACGGCAGCCAATGTACATAATGTTTCGGCTCTCTAATCTTTCTCTATACATTTTACTAGCGTAGATTTGGTTTATGATCGTTCGACAATTTATGGCCCCAGTTTGATTTGGCTATCGAGGCGTTTGCTTGTCGTACAAGGTGCGTCGCACTTTAATCAATTTAATTGTGTGTCGGACTCGGAACACATCGACAGCCAGATATGTCCACACATAATGTAAACAGCGTCGTTAAATTAGGATGCTGTAGCTATAAGGGAGAAGCCTTGATCCAGACTTGTGGGCGAATACAAAGTAAACAAATTCGTAATAAAATATTTAAAAAAATATTTGATATTAGCTTTGTTTCCTCTTTTACTGCTCGCAATCTTAACTGCTTTTCTCACCCAAGATTTATTGATTGAAAAAACTAAACGATCGTTTTATCTGAGAGTTTCCAGTGAAACCACAAGCTTCTACCTCGCCGGCTAGTCAATTTATCAATTTAAGTTGTATTTCTAATGAAATCTCAGCGACTTTCTTTGATTTATGAACTCGCTTAATGTTCAACGTTTGTAAACGATATTTACGAAATGTGCTCAGGTTTCTTATCTTAATTTATGCACGCCTAATGCTGGACTCTGCAGCTCGCCCTGTGATTCGCAACTAGTTTCAGTACAGCTCAAAGTTGTTACTCTTTTCTACATATAGTAATGCCTCTACTTTGGAATTCCGTCAATTAACACTCTGGTCAATTAAAGCCTCTTAAATGAACTGGACTGTCGTGCCAATTACCATCAGTATGCTGTTCATGTGATGTCTTAATAATCATCCTAACGATCCGTAACGTAAAACCAGTGG